CTGATGGTCATCAGATGTACTCCAACATCACCACCAGAACACACTGGCAGACTGGCATTCTACAGGAGAGCTGGCCAGTCTAATAACCCTCTAACTATCTCTGGAGAATGCAAATCAAAGATAACCCAGGGCTATGCTCAAGAATGCCAACTCTTTAGATCAGTACCATCCAACAGAAATGTATCAACTTCAAGTAAAGTTTAAAATTTTCCAGTTGGGCTTCCTTGGTGGCACAAGGGGTTAAATCTCAGCACTATGAATCCATCACCAGCCACTGCAGCACAAGTTTGATCCCCAGCCAGGGAGCTGACCCATTTGGCACAGCAGACCGCTCTGGGTCTCACCCACTGCTTCCCTCAGCAGTGTATTTCAGCAGATCTGCCTGTTCTGTTCCCCCACCCTGTCTCTGGTGAATCCTCTTACCCCGACCCCCGAACCCCCCCCCCCCAACCTCTGGCTTCCACCCCAGCTTGTGTATGCATAAACAAACAAAATAAAACTTTTTTTTTTTTTTTTTTTAAATTTTCTAGAGGCATGTCTTATTTATTTATTTATTTATTTGTTATTTGTTTGTTTGGTTTATACATGCACTGGGTACAGTCAGAAGCGCGGGAGGGTGAGAGAATTCACCAGAGCCAGAGCGGGGAGCAGAGCAGGCAGAAGGACCGAAGTACACTGCTGAGGGGAGCAGCGGGCGGCAGGAGAGGTCTGCGCGCCATGTGGGACCCTCCCCTGGCGGCCGGGGAGCAGCCGGGGATCGAACCGGCTGCAGAGGCTGCAGACAGCTTCGCAACCCAGCGCTCAACCGCTGCGCCACCGGGGAGGCCCCAAAATAAAACTTTAAAAGAATAAATAAATAAAATTTTCCAGTAGCAACGTTAAAAAGTTAAAGGAGCAGAAACTAATTTTAATAATGTATATAACATTTCTACACTATGATTTCAATGTTAACGATGTAAAAAAATATTGAAATATCTTACTTTTTTTCGTGCCAGATATTTTATACTCACAATACTTCTAAATTTGGGCTAGCCATATTTCAAGTGTTCAATTGCCAAAATATTAGATTTTTCTTACTCAGTTTACAGACTGACTCTGAGATGAAATAAGATCCTTCCCCCCAAATCTTTACCCATTTGCCAAAGAAAGATGGTCAAGCCCCTTAATCAGTCTGACAGGTGAAAACTACCTCCTCAAGGCATACATTACTACTCAAGGGATACCTGTTTTGAGGGTGCTGATGTAAATTCCCATTGCTTCTCTTAGAAGTTTCACCCCTTCTTCCTTCATTAAGGCCACGAGATTTGTGTCAGGCTCATCTTTGGCAAGGCTCACACTAATCTGAGTGAAAGATCAGAAGCAGGTGGTAAATAACTTGAGGGCACCACATGTTGTGGGTGCTGAGCGATCAACTACTGACATTTCCAAAGGAAATGCGTGAGGGCTAGGGTATTTGACAATCCCCATGAGTGATCCTTTTTGAGTTCCTCTGCCAGGCAAAGGTGGCTTAGGTTAGAACTCCTATAACTAACTAAAGCAAAGTAATTAAACACACACTGCTCTGGAAGCTCCCAAAGGTTCAATGGGCCTAGAAAGTCATCTGCAAACTGGGGTTCTGAATGTTTGGGTCAACTGTGGGCTCTCATCTTGACTGAAAGGTCAATTTTCTTATGTGAGGTAAGAAGATGTAGAAGACTCAGGCTGAGTTAGGAAGCACAAACCTCTACTTCATCCACACTGTTTTCATCAGACAAATTGGGGATCTCCACATGACCCTTGTAGTGTACTCCGGACTTCGAGGTACCTGTCAAAAGGAATGCAATATTAGCCTCCTACTCTAGAGTCCTATTACTCCTGTTACATTTCTTCTGGACAACTCAACTAACCCTCTTTATTCTAACAGGAGTATCCATGTCAGGAGTAACCAACCTCCCCCTAAGGAAAAAATGTCTTTCCCCATCAGATTTCTTGAGCTCAACTGTGTTATTACAATATGGGACCAAGAGCTACAAGGACTCGGCACTATCATGAATTCTGCCAGAGAGGACTTGGATCAATAGCCAGATCAACTAGAACACTTGCTTTGAAAATATAAATTTGTTCTAATATGACTGCTATACTAGGGAACAATTTGACCAAAACATGAATTTCACGTGTGCTAGTGTGATTTTTATCCATGATAAATACTAGGTGAACACACAGAAAAATAGACCCAGCAGACATGAGTTGCAGAGGAATACATAAAACACACATTTCAAACATTTATCTCCAGCAATCTGTTTACATGCATGTCATGAGCCATGCCACCCACAACTGGTGTAAATGTTCCTTCTGATTTCGGATGCCTTCGTTCCACCACACATCAATAAACCACACATCAAAGCCTTCCTGATGGCCACTTTCACAGTAAACTTCAGATCTTTTTCAGGGCAAATCCCTGCATCTATTGTACTATTAATGTGTTTATTACCATTTGACATGTCTAACATTGTACTATAATTTTCATGTCCCTGAGTTTTTAAAACCGTGTCACCAATGAAGTTTTTGGATGCTGTTTCCCTAGCCCCAAGTTTCCCATAAGTCCATGTTTCCCAAAGTCCTGTGACTTTGTACAGTGTAGTAATTTTTAGGAAAACATGTCATGTTATAGCAGAATTGAATGGTCTGCCCCATACACATATTCTTTCAGCTTTAGTACCTCTTAAAATCCAGCCTCTCAACTCTCAGGGCAACCCAAGGCCACTACCTCCTGATATTTCACATACAGGTCCTAATTCTTTCCTTGAATCATTATCACAGAAGGGGCATTAATAAGGATAAGACTGACCCAAATGACAGTCACATATAAGTTTCATTAGCACAAAATAGCCCAACCTGCTAACTTCAATACTGGCGAGAGTAAGAAAAGACCAAGACCAAAAAATTCCCTTCCCCACTTTTGAGTCATCCAAGAATCAGAAGTAGCTAGTCTGGGGAAATGACCCTTGTGTCACAACAGAGTCCAAGGCCCAAGGATGCTGTGGTCCAGCTGCTACACTTGTGAGACCCAGAGTGAGGACACTCAGTGACCCAGAGTGGCAGAGAAATTTTAGCAACGACTGCTGCTTTCTTCAGGACTCCAAAGCATAGTACCTCTCTTCCTGGAAAAATTCATAACCTCTCAAAAACTGACCTCCCCAGTTACTTAACAGTCAATCAAAATGCAGTCAACCCTTTTTCTTGACATCCCAGCAGACTTACCTGTCCAATTTAGTTTGACACTCCACTCATAAAAGAAGATAAGTTTGCCTTTGCGATTGTTAATTGATGCCTCTCCATCAAGCTTATTCACTTCTGTCACCTCACACTTGCCTTCCTCATTTTGCACCTGCACTGCCAGGAACAGTGTCTTCAGCTTGTCTGTGGACCAATTTGAAGCATCCCTCTCTGTCCTGCAAAACAGAAAGCGCCAAATGGAGGAGACCCCACTTGCTAAATGCTAAAGCAATTGTGAGAAATGGAAAAGAACAGAAAAACAATGAGTTCCACTCCAGAATGTCCATAAATGTTACTTTCGTTTAAGAACACAAAGAATTGCATATTGTCAATAAGGCTAACTGCTATTTAGAACAGTCACAAACGAAATGGAAAATTATGCTTTCCTTTACCAGCAGGATGGTTGGTACTGGGGTCAACATTAACGCTGTAACATGGCGCCCCCTTTTGGCCAATGGGAAATCTGTGCAAACATTACTTAGGGCGGTAGAAAAGTAGTATCTACCCAAAAGGTCCCGTAGAGAATAAACCAATAATGTTGACTTCATTACCACGGAATTCTGACCAGTCAAGTTCAGGCTATGCTATAAATACCCTACACATTCTGTGCCCTCTAAATGGCCATAAGAACAAAGTCAGTCCAGGATTTCAACAACAAAAAATTAGGTCAGGCACTCTGTGTCTGTTGAAAGAGAGGAGGCAGGCTGAGCTACAGAGAGAAGAAAACCACTATCTGCCTCCCAACTGGCTAACTGGTAGAGACAACAGCAAAACCGAGCTGCAACAAAGTAAAAACACACAGCAAAGACAACATGGACAAAGCTCAATGGACAGGAAAGGTAAGGAGACATTACTTCTGGAAGACTTGGTGAAGGAGGGTAGGCTTTTAAAAGCGGTTTCGATTATAAAACCACGATTGCCCGGCAACCAGGGACAGTCCCTGGAGTTACAACACAACCAACGTAACAGTTCCGGGTGAGAGGCCGGGGCGTCCTCAGCACCAATGAGCTCGGAGCACCTGCAGAACATGTTCCAAACCTTCGCCCCCTGGATCGAGACAGTGGTCCCCCTATAACTGACTCTTAATTTCACCCGCAAGCCGCAAATTAGGAATCCCTGGGCCCCGGCCCCGGCCTCACGCAGCAACCTCCCCATACAACCCGAGGCGGTCGGGGCTCACGGAGTCCTGCGGCCACGTGTGGGAAGCACCTCCCTGCTCAGGCTGGATGCAGCAGCTCGGCGGGTATGTGCTCTCTCCCCCCCCCGAGACCCCTCCTCGAGGGATCAGCCCTCCACGTCTCCCCCCGCCCGAAAACCCTGCAAGAGTCCAGGAGCGGAGGGGCCTGGGGCCACGGACCCCTGCAATGGACAGGACCCGGCCCCACCTCCGGGCAGGGCTGCCTCTGCCCAGTGCTGCCCCGGCCGAGGCTGCAGGGCGACCCACCCGGCCCGGCGTCCGCTCCCGCGGCCTGGCCCGCCGGCCTCACCAGTGCCAGTTGTTGACGTTGGTGGCGTCCGCCCGCTCCTCCACGATCCAGCGTGGGTCGCCCTCACCCCACTTGGCCATCGGCTCTCCTATGGCGCCGTCACCAGCTCCCGAGCAGCCACAGCCACAGCCTCAGGGCCGCCCGGTCCCTGCCGCCCGGCAGCGCCTGGAAACTACTAGAAGCGGCCGCAGAACCTCCGGGCTTGCTTTTCCCTCCACCCCCGCCCCCTCCCCGCCTCGACTTCCGGCTCCTCCTCACTCTCACCGGGTACTTCCGTTTCACCTCCCGGGCCGCAGCTGGTGCTGCTCAAAGGTTCCTTCCAGCTCCCTGAGGAGAGCGCCAGAGGGCCCCGAAAGGCAACCGCTCACACGCCCACCCCTCACCTGTAGGGATAGAAAGGAGACGTCTCATTGTTTCGCTCGACCCTGAATTGGCCCTGCTGAGCCTCATGGGAGTTGTAGTCTTGCTCGGCTGACCCGCTGGGTAACCGCGGAAGGTCGCACGACAAGTAAGGAAACACCCTGGAGACGATGCGCTGGGGATTCTGGGAGCTGTAGTCAAGAAGCCCCGTGGCCCCTCTGGAGAGTCCCTTGCAACAGGAGGCGGGAAAACTACCACTTCCAGCATGCCCCGCGGCCTCTTTCTCGCCTGGTGTTCGGCGCTCTCGCTCCTCCCTGCGACTCTCCTCTTCCGCCCCTTTTCTATGCCGCAGAGCTTGATTAGAAAGGCTGGTGCGGCGGCGGAAGAGCTGGCGTTGTCCTGAGAGGGAGGGCTCGGTGTGGAAGAGGTGAGGGCGTCCTAACTCCCTTGGGCCGCAGAGTTGGCTGAGTCCAGCCTCTCCGTGTCCTGGTCCTGCACCTGTTCCCAGAGGTGTCCCTGGAGTCCCTGCCCCCAGCCCCCGCCCCAGGCCTGACTCCGCTGCTGAAGCGACCCTTGAACTAGGCGTCGAGTGCGCTTGGGCTTGGGGCTGCGATGGAGTCCCCACATTTTGTTATGAGCAAGCATTTATTTTCTCTACCAGGGATCCTCCTGGCTATGGCGACTGCGGTGGCTCCTGACTTCCTGGATGTTCGTCCAGAGTCGTATTCATTGAAGCCACTTGCCCCGGCCCCGGGTCCCAGCCTCACCCGTGTAGGCCTGCTTCTGGAGATAATTGAGTCCAGATTTAACTTCTCAGCAGCTGGTTTCTGAGATTGCCCGAGGCAGGGAGCGTGTTGGTTGTGGATTTGTTTTTGTGTCTTGCTGATGATCCTTCTTGTGTTTCCCCCTGTCATCATGCACCTGTTCCCCCTTCGGGTCTCCTCTCCTGTCTTAGAGCATCTCACTTGACGTGTGATGTAAGAACACACATCTGAAGTATTTTAAATTAAGTTGAAGCACTTTCTCAACCACTCTTAAAATTGTATCTGGTTGCTTTATCACTTCCAGAGCCCTTAAATCTAGAACCAGGTAAATCTCGGTTCTGATTTGGTATTGGAAGAATAAATTGGTGTCAGGTATTCACTAGTGTATGGTAAAAAATAGAAAAGAAGGAAAAATTACAGAAATCCTCTGGTGGATTATTGGCTTAGTAAACTACATTGTATGCCTATCTGTAGATAATTTATTTAATCTGGTACCTAGTTTTCCTTAGAGTGAAAAGCAGAGGACCATACAAGTTTGTGGAAATGATCCAGGAGACAGAAAACCTGGGTAATAGGAACAACTAGTAAGGTGACTTTGCTAGCTAATCCTTTTGTGCCTCATTTCCTTCATCAGTGAAAGGGAATCTGCCAATCCTACCTTCAAGGTTTGTTCTGAGAATGAAAAAGTGCTTTAATAAACTCACCTGTGCCAGAGACCTAGCCATGCTCTGTGTTTGTGGTGAGCACTAGAATGTTTGTACCAAAATTTGTTAATCTTTATGATTGCTTAAAAATGTTTCCTAGTTTTCCCCAAAGTACCATGATGATTTTATTAATAATAAAAGCTAATACTTAATTTTGTGTTAGGCACTAAGGGCTTTACATATATTGACTAAGCCTCACAACAATCTTTTAGTTTAAGCCTCACAACAATCTTTTAAGGTCGACTTGTTATATTCATTTTACACATGAGGGAACCTAGATAGAAAGATGTCAGTAAAATATCCCATACTCCAGAAAATTTACTATGTAGTTTTTGCTAGGCACTTCATTAGTTTTATCATGAGTTCTTGGTATGCTTCACGGTGACTCTGTGAGGTAGCATATCATTTTCTCTAAGGTTTAGAAGTAAAATAATATACCCAGTTTGCTCAGAATTGGAAAAACTAAGATTTAAACTTAAGTCTGCCTGCCTACGAAGTCAATTTTCATTGTGCCTACCAGCTTTATTTGGTTTTGATTCCCTGTAATAAAATATTCAAAACAATTTTGAGCCACATCTGGGGTAGTAATCAATTAATGATGTCTGCCATGGGAAGGGATTAGATCGTGGAAAATTCCTGCCATACCTTTGCCTTTTCTATATCCTCTGAAAATACAGAGGCAGGAAGTGAGAGTAGAGTATGTTGAGGGCCACCAGAAATCAAATCACTGTTGCCATGGTGTTTCTCAAGCTTCTATGGAGAAAGGTATTATTGAAATAAAAGGAAAAGCAAATTGATCCTTTGGAAATTGACACAGTCAAGCCTTTTGAGTTATTTTTAGTGCTGTGTAAGGTTTGGTTCCTATTTCTTGGCTTAAATCAGTTTTCTTTCTAATCCAGTGAACATTGATAATCTGTAATTCTAGGGCAACACTTTTTTTTGATTAAAATTTAATTTTAGATTAATTATGAGAGAGATTTGTGGTGTTTGACTAATTTTTTTTTTAAAGAATAAGTTTTTTTAAAAAAAAAAAGATTTATTTATTTATATAAGCACTGGGTACAGTCACGAGTGCGGGAGGGTGAGAGAATTCACCAGAGCCAGAGTGGGGAACAGAACAGGCAGACTGAAATACAGCACTGAGGGGAGCAGCGGGTGCGGCAGGAGAGGTGTGTCGTGCCATGTGGGACCCTCGCCAGCGGCCGGGTATCGAACTGGCGCTGCAGAGGCTGCGGGCAGCTTCTCAGCCCAGCGCTCAACCGCTGCGCCACCCGGGGAGGCCCGCTTTGACTAATTCTTCATGTAGTTTCTTTTCCTGGCCATTTCCTCATTTCCCAAAATTTGGCCAATAGATGCTAATAAATAATGATTAGAAGAAACAGTTTAATTCATCTTTTAATTGCTTTGCATTCATTCTTTCAGACCTGATAAGCATATGTGAGAGCAAGATATTTGTCAGTTGTATTCCTGGAAGTATTCTGAGAGCTTACAATATTGCCTTAGCGATAGCACTAAGAGATGAATGTTGAATACATAACAACAGGTGTTTACTGTTATTTTCATCATTTGACTGCTCTTGCATATTCAGCAAAGTTCATGATGCATCCAAGACACTTAACTGTCTTGGACTACTACCTTCACACATATCTGTGCTAAAGCTCTGTTGGAGGGTCCCTTAGAAGAGGGAACATGTCTTGCATCTTTAAAATATCTGTTAAAACACTTGAGAGACTGCCTTGGCCAACGTAGATTCTCTAGGAATGAATAGCTACTTGTGAGTAATTAGAAGCTCAAAAGTATGGTTTGATCAGTTGGAAACCTAAGGATCTGATTTTTATGGCAGGTTCAGTATTTGCCTTTTTTTTTTTTTTTAAAGATTTATGTGTTTATGCATACAAGAGCTTGTATGTAGGCCAGAGGTGCAGGGTGGGGGTGGGCAGGACTGTGAGAGGACTCACCAGAGGCAGAGTGGGGAGCAGCCCAGGCAGATTGACTGAAATACACTGCCGAGGGGAGCAGTGGGTGAGACAGGAGAGGTCTGCTGTGCCATGTGGGTCAACTCCCTGGCTGGGGATCGAACTCGTGCTGCAGTGGCTGCCAATAGCTTCATAGTGCTGAGACTTAACCCCTTGTGCCACCAGGGAGGCAGAAGTTCAATATTTGCTTTACCAGATTCTTTGATACATCCCTGATTATTGGACAGAGTTTGTAGTAAAGGAACCTAAAGAGCCTTTGGGGCTCTTTGGGGAGGAATCCAAAAAGGGATATATGTCTGTTTTCCTCTTATTCCAGATGAATCGAACAAAGGGAGATGAGGAAGAGTATTGGAACAGCTCCAAGTTCAAGGCTTTCACCTTTGATGATGAAGATGATGAACTCTCACAGGTAGGTTGCAGTTAGATAAAGGTGCACCCTCTTCCACAGTGTAAAATTCCTTCTTCCTGCATCCTCAGTAACCTGGATTTGACCTAGTCTCCATTAGATGGCCCAGAAATGTTTTGGGCCAGTCTTTAGGAAAAAAATTCTTGGAGAAGAGTCTTCACAAAAGATGCATAGGGTTTGTAAAAACCAACCCTCTGCCTTTCTTACTGTACATTATTAAGATGATCCTTTCAATTTTTTTTTCCCAAGAATCCCAAGGCTTTTATAACATAATTTTTTTTTTTAAGATTTATTTATTTATGCATACAAGAGCTGGGATACAGGCCAGAGATGTGTGTGTGTGGGGCGGGGTGGGGGCAGGTGACAGGATTCACCAGAGACAGTGGGGAACAGAACAGGCAGAATGACTGAAATACACTGCCGAGGGGAGCAGCGGGTGAAACAGGAAAGGTCTGCTGCACCATGTGGATTGCTCCCTGGCAGGCCGGGAATCGAACTCGTGCTGAAGAGGCTGCGGATTGCTTCATAGTGCAGTGCTTAACCCCTTGCGCCACCAGGGAGGCTCATAATCTATTATTTTTGAAAGACTGAATTGGGAGTTTTGTATCTGTTTTACAAATGGGAAAATACTCATTTTTGAGGAAGAAGATAAGCTCACTTAGATTTATACAAGTCAGTGTTAGGAATGTGATTAGAACACAGAGTTGACTAATTCCTCCTAACTCTTTTACCACTGGCCTGTAGTGTTCCCTAAAAACAATTTGTGCTCTTGGCAGATATCCAGCAGACTAGGCTTTTAATTGCAGAGGGTAAAATTGATAGCCATCTTCAAATCCCAACTCCTCAGCTTTTGTAGTTATCAAAGAGAGAGGTGGGAAGTGATGATGTTTTGAGTGTCCTGTGTTACGTTCCTCCGCAGTTGAAGGAATCCAAACGGGCAGTGAATAGTCTTCGAGACTTCGTGGATGATGATGATGACGATGACCTGGAGAGAGTCAGCTGGAGTGGGGAACCTGTGGGAAGTAAGTAGAAGAGGCCCTAGCTGAGGATTGATAGCCAGGGTTTTTGTTACTAATGAAGGCTCCACTTATTTGTCTTCTCAGTGTCAGCGAAGGGAATGAGGTTAGACTATTTGCAGATGAGCATACACCTGGAAATTTAACCCCCAGAGAAGATACTTGGGAAAATACAGCAGTAGTTCCCATATGGCCGTGGAGATCTGCTGTCCTAGCAATAATGTTTGACTGTCTATTTCAGACTCCCTTGGGGTGCTTGCTAAAATTAGATTCCTAGGCTTCACTCTAGAGAGTGACTCTCAGTTGGGGTGGGGGATCTCAGTTTGTAATAAATACTGCAAGTGTTTTTAGCATGCAGACATACTGAGGAACTACTGACTTAATTGCTCATAATAGGTTGGCAGAGCTGCCTTTCCTAACCACCAAGTTTCACTGTTTAACTCTTACATCATACCACCTAACAACTTTGCACAATCCATCTGATTTTTAAAAATAGTTTCTAAGATTTTTTTTTTTTAAATTGGAGATACCATCATGTGATTTATTTATTTTTTTATTTTCTTTAAGATTTATTTTTATTTATTTATACAAACACTGGGTACAGTCAGAAGCGCGGGAGGGTAAGAGAATTCACCAGAGCCAGAGCGGGGAGCAGAGCAGGCAGAAGGACCGAAGTGCACTGCTGAGGGGAGCAGCGGGCAGCAGGAGAGGTCTGCGTGCCATATGGGACCCTCCTCTGGTGGCCGGGGAGCAGCCGGGGATCGAACCGGTGCTGCAGAGGCCGCAGGCAGCATCGCAACCCAGCGCTCAACCGCTGTGCCACCGGGGAGGCCCACCATCATGTGATTTAAAAGTCAAAAAGTACTTAAGGCATACAGTGAAAGGTTTCATTCCCGCATTGCCAGAGTTACAGTCTCTGCTCTTGCCCTCCCTCTTCCAATAACCACTCTTGCATTCTTCCTTTGTATTCATTGAAAATTCTTTTTGCATACAAAAATACATATAGGAATATATATCCTTGCCCTTTCTTTGCATCTGTGATAGCATATTTTATACCCTTCTGTTTTCATTTGACAGTACAACGGAGATCTTTCCAAATCACAAAAGTTTTCTCGTTCTCTCTCTTTTTAAAACAGCAATATAGTATTACATTGTATAGGTTTACCATAATTCTTTTAACCAGTCCACTCCTGATGAACTTTAGATTGTTTCCAATCTTTGGTTGAGTGCATTGTTATCAATAACCTTGTATTCTGCCCACATACGCCACAGACGAGTTTATGAAAGGTCAGTTTCGAGGGTGGAATTACTGGCAGAGAATATTTGCATCTGTATTGATATTACCAAATTGCCCTCCACAAGGGCTGAACTAATTTGTACTCCCACCAGCAACATTAGAGGGTTCCTGTTTCCTGGTAGTCTTGACAAAACAGGATATTATTAAACTTTTGGATCTTTGGCAATCTTACAGAGGACCAATAATAGTGTGGTGTACCTTTATTTGTGGTTGTAAGAGTGAGCATGAGTATCTCTTCATGTGTTTAATAGTCACTTGAATTTCCTTTTCTGTGATCCCTTCATTTCATTTGCCCTCTTTTCTGTGAATTAGTCTGTTTGATTGTATCCTTTTTCCTCTGCCTCAATTTTTGGAGTCTATATTGGACAAAGGCCCAGGGCCTCTGGTGAAAAGCTTTTAGAGTTGGTTGGAATGTTATCAGGATTTACTTTGGATGAGAATAATTAACTTAGTTCTTACTATCCCATAGGTATCTCATGGTCTATCAAAGAGACTGCTAGTAATAGTGTGTCAAACCATGAGGGACGTGAACAACTAAAGAGCCGAAACAGCTTCTCCTATGCACAGCTACCCAAACCTCCTTCTACTTATTCCCTGAGCAGCTTTTTTAAAGGTAAAGCATTATAATTAAAGGGACAGGGAGTCCTCCTTTATTCAGAATAAGGCCTAAGTTATAATTTTCATTTACTCTGCTCTGGAAGAAAAAGAATGTCTTTGGACTTGGCAGTTTGGGATTAGGAGTGGGAGAAATGAGAGAAATTCAGATAGATTAGAACAGGTTTCTAGAACATGATGAACAAAATTAACCCTGTGACAAGTACTGTAGAAATTTGCATAGGTCATAATTTCACCCTACCCCTGTACACTGTTGTTGGGAACCTTTATGCACTACTGGTGGGAATGCAAAATGATACAGCTGCTATGGAAGGCAGTTAATTAAATGTACAATTATCATATATGATCCAGTAGTCTACTTTTGGGTATCTACCAAAAAGAACCACAAGCAGAGACTTGAATAGCTGTTGTTATATACCAGTGTTTGTAGCAGCACTTATTCATAATAATCAAAAGGTAGAAATAACCCAAACATCTATTGACTGATAAGTGGACAAGTAATATGTACATGTAGTGGAATTATTATTCATCCAAAAATGAATTAAATTCTTATACATGCCACAGTATGCATGAACCTTGAGTGCTTTATGATCATTGAAATAAGACACAACAGGAGTGTACAATGGAGAGAGGGAAGGTCTCTTCAGCAAGTGGTGGTGGGAAAACTGAATAGCCATACCCAGAAAAATGAAGGTAGGCTACTCTAACCCTACACAAAAATTAACTCAAAATGGATTAAGGACTAGGATATAGGATCAAAAACCATAAAATATATAGAACAAAACACAGGCAAAATACTCCACTAACATTGGTCTCAGGGCTGTCATTAGGAACTAGACTCCAATGGCTAGAAAAACAAAAGCAAAAGTAAACAAATGGGTCTACATTAAACTAAAAACCTGCATAGCAGAAGAAAATGCCATGGAAATGAAGAGACATCCTACTGAATGGAAGAAAATATTGCCCATCGACATGGGGCTAATATATCTAAGATCTACAAAGAACTTACACCTCAACATGAAAACAAATAATTCAGTCAAAAAATAGGCAGAAGCGCTAAATAGACAATTCTCCAAAGAAGACATACAGATGACCTACAGGCACATGAAAAAAATGAGGGAAATGCAATCAAAACCAAAGTGAGGTACCATCTCATCCCCATGAGAATGGCACATAGTGAAAAAACCAGAAACAACAAATCTTCCAAGGGTGTGGAGGAAAAAGACCCTTGTACACTGTTGGTGGGAACATAGACTGATTCGGCCCCTCCCTATGGAAAAAATAAGGAATATTCTCAAAATAGATATGATCCAGTGATTCTGTTAGGGGAAAAAGGCTGTCCCAAAGCTAATTCCATACAGGCTTTGTGGACTCCACCCCCACCCCAGTGTTAGGGGGAAAAGGCTGCCCCAAAGCAAATTCCATACAGGCTTTGTGGACTCCACCCCCACCCCAGGCCAAAGCCAAAGACACTGGGAACTCTACATCCCATCACCACCCAAGGGAAGGTGGCTGGGACCTGAGGGTGGGGTTAAGCAGCCAGGTGGATACAAAAGGCAGACATGTGGGCTTTGGGGCTCTCTCCATTTTGGGGCCCTTGGCCAGCTCGCGGCGTCCGTCTAGCTCTGAGAGTGACTTTGGGTTTCCAGGTCGTCGGATCGGGTAGGACGCATTAAAGACTTTATTTCCCTATTTTCTCCCTGAGTTGTACATTTTCCTTATTTCTTTTTCTCTTGTAAATAAACCTTTTATTAACCCTTTTGCGTGTGTCTGTAGTAGAGTATTCATAAGTCCCTTTAAAGCGCGCGGGTGAGGACCCACAGCCAGGAACCCGTTTAATATCAGGGTTGCTCTATAACAATTCCATTCCTTGGCATATATCCAAAGAATGCAGAAACACTAATTTGAAGGAATGTATGCACTCCTATGTTCATTTTTTTTAAAGATTTATTTATTTATTTATGCATACAAGAACTGGGATACAGGCCAGAAGTGTCGGGGGATGAGAGAATATACCAGAAACAGTGGGGAGCAGAACAGGCAGATCTACTGAAATACACCTCTGAGGGGAGCAGTGGGTGAGTCAGGAGAGGTCTTTTGTGCCATGTGGGTAGCTCCCTGGCCGGGGATCAAGCTCATGCTGCAGTGGCTGCGGATACCTTCATAGGTTGTGTCTTAACCCCTTGTGCCTCCAGGGAGGTCGTGCACTCCTATGTTCATTGCAGCACTGTTTACAAAGGTCAAGTTATGGAAACAACCTAAGTGTCCCAAAACAGATTAGTGGATGCCTTTGGCAACACTTAGAAAAGGATGTATTTGTACACAATGGGATACTATTCAGCTATCAAAAGAGATAAAATCTTTTTTATTTATTTATTTAAATTTTATTTTTATATCCCCCATACAATTACAACCCCCTTAGTTTGACCCCAAGCTCTCCTTTCCCAGCCCCCCACCCCCCGTAGAGTGTCTCTGGTTCATAGTTGTTTGTTGATTTTGATATTTTCTTTCTTACAGCTATTCTTTTTCCTGGTCCCTTATTTAAGTTTTCTAGATTCCTGCTATGAGTGAGACCATCCGGTATTTTTCTTTTTCTTTCTGGCTTATTTCGCTGAGCGTGATCCCTTCCAGATCCATACATATTGCTGCAAATTGCATGTGTTTATCTTTTTTGAATGCTGAGTAATATTCCATGGTGTATATGTACCACATCTTCTTGATCCAGTCATCTATTTTTGGGCATTTGGGTTGTTTCCAAAGCTTAGCTATTGTAAATAGTGCTGCTATAAACATAGGGGTGCAGGTGCTCTATTGGAATTGATGTTTCTGTGTCCTTTGGGTAAATACCTAGGAGAGGAATTGCTGGATCCTATGGAAGCTCTATGTTTAGTAGGTCAAGAAATCTCCACACAGCTCTCCATAGTGGTTGGGCCAGTTTGCACTCCCACCAACAGTGCAGGAGAGTTCCTTTTTCTCCACAACCTCGCCAACATTTGTTGTAGCTAGTTTTTTTAATATGTGCCATTCTCACTGGTGTCAGATGGTATCTCATGGTAGTTTTGATTTGCATTTCCCTGATTACAAGTGATTTTGAACATTTTTTCATATGCCTGTTGGCCATTTGCATTTCCTCTTCAGAGAAGTTTCTTTTTAGCTCTTCTGCCCATTTTTTGACTGGATTATTTTAACGGAGATAAAATCTTAACCATTTGTGACAACGTGGATGGAACAGGAAGGAAAGGAACTGCTTAATGAAATAAGTCAGAAGAATACAGAGAAATATGGGGTGACTTTACTCACGGACTAGAGAGAAACAAAACAAAGGAACAGATGAAACTAAATCTAAACAATCCCTAGAAATATGATTGCAGAATTGAGCTTACTGGAGGGGGTAAGCAACAAAGGGGAGAGGTGCCCCAGTGGTCTGTGGTGAAAGATTATGTTTTTTTCAGTGGTGGGTGTGGTTTGGTAACATATCTGAGGTGGTATAAACCTATTTCCCTATATCACATGCAGTATTGTTAAACCAGCGTTACCTCTTAAAAAAAAAAAAAAAAGACATAAAACAGACACATAACTGTGGGGAGTAATAGAAAATAGGTGGTAGAAATAGTAATAGAAAATAGGTGGTAATTAGATGACTTGATAAAATTTCTTTTGAATCTACCATCACTGTATGATTCTACTTTTACATGCTACCTAAAATAATCAGATTCGTAGAAACAGAAAGTAGAATAGAGGTTACCAGGGCCTGGGGGTAATGGAGAATGGGGAGTTATTGTTTAATGGGTGCAGGATCTCCATTTGAGATGAAGAAAAAGTTCTGGAGTTAGATAATGGTGATGATTATACAATGTGCATGTACTCGGTGGCACTGAACAGTTGAAAATAGTAAGTTTTTTGTTATGTATATTTTACCACAATTTAAAAAAATTTTCCTTTTTTTTGATGACACCTCAAATTTCTGAAATTGACAAAAGCTTTTTTAAGCATATGTTCCCACATTGTATTAAAAAGGTTCTGTAACTGCATTCTTAACCAAGTGTGAATGGCTCTGACTTGAACTTTTAACCTCTTCTCTCCTGTGCTCTTTACCTTTAGGGAGAACTAGACCTGGAAGTTTCCAGTCTCTTTCTGATGGTAGGTATTGATCTTCTCTTGATTTCTATAATAGATATTACTGATCTCGGGTACAGTGTGGGGAGTTATGAAGACAGATGGTAATTAGATGATTAGATGAATAGATGAAATTTCTTCTGAATCTATCATCATTGTTAGACACATTTTCTGATCTTGTGTAAGGAAGTAGAAATCATTCTGGCTATAAGGGAAGGGATGCCTTCTTTGAGGAGGAACTGAAATCTACATAAAGGTACCGTGGGAGTTTGCAAGACAAATTTAAGAAGGAAGCAATAGAGGAAAAGAATGACAAAAAGCTGATGTCATTCTGAACTAGCTGCCTGTTCTTTTTCAGCTCTGTCAGACACACCTTCCAAAAGCTATGCTCCCGAGCTGGGTCGACCCAAGGGAGAATATAGGGTGAGTTTACATCGTACACTGGTGTGACACTTTAAAGTGCTTTGGCACACATTGTCTTACTGGATCTTCCCAACTTTTTGAGCAGGTACAAAATAATACCCCCTTTTATAGGTACAAATACTCAATTTCTAAACATTTGGAATTGCTATGGTTCTCACAGCTAGTAAATGGTAGAACTTGCACTCAAAAATTTCTGTTTTCGAATTCAGTCCTACCACACTTTCCTTATCTATTATGCTGCCTCTTGAAGTCTGCACTCCAAAACTTTTGATCATTACTGTTGTCTAGAAATTTGATGGGGCTTACCCCCCAAAAAAAATTGCTTCATAAGGAAGAAATTTTATAAGTTCCAGTAAAGGAGCAGGTTTCCCTCTTTCATTCATTTGGCAGAGTTATTAATAAGAGTTCCCAAATGTGACCATTTGCCTCTAGGGGTTGAAGTCCTGAACCTGTAGCCCTAGATAGGGTTGCTGGTTTTGTCAGTTGATTCATTCCTCTTAGATCCATCTCCTGCCTATATTGTCCCTGTTCTTTCTTTTTTCAAAATTCAGAACGAGACTATCTCCATTCTTCATTTTCTCCCCACACATTCCCTCCCACAAAGTATTTCTCTTTTAGGGACTGAGACTATGAGTTTGAGGTGAGGAACTGGCACACTGATAATTCTGACCCCTTAACCTAGAATTCATGTATTGTTAATATTCCAGGATTACAGTAATGACTGGAGCCCCAGTGACACAGTGCGACGCCTCCGGAAAGGCAAGGTAAGGTCATTGGTGAGAAAATTCTTGTGGGATTTATTATTTTAAGTTGGCTAGCTTTATACCTCGGGAGGATTTATTGATTATTCAGTTCTGTTTGGTAAATGAAGTGGCTTTCAGGAGAGATAAATTCACGAAGCTGGAAAATCAGCTGCAAAATTTTTGATTCTCCAATGTTTTGATTAAGTAGTGGGAAAAGAATGTTAGATGAGAGGGAAAAGTACAGTTAATGTGAATGATCTTGTATGGTTAGATCTGTGATCTATCATAAGTCAACATTGATATATGGGTGTGAGGTCAGGATTGAGATTGATTTTTTTTTTCCATATAGTTCCCTATTTGTTTCAGCACTATTTGTAAAAAAAAAACAAAGTCTATGACTCATTGATTTGTCTATTCTTTTTTTTTTTTAAGATTTATTTTTTTATACAAGAGCTGGGGCACAGGCTAGAGGCGTGGGAGGGTGAGAGGATTCACCAGAAACAGAGCAGGGAGCAGAACAGGCAGATGACCGAAATACACTGCTGAGGGGAGCAGCGGGCGTGACAGGACAGGCCTGCCATGTCATGTGGGAATCTTCTTGGCCACCAGGAATTGAACCTGCACTGCAGAGGCTGCGGGCAGCTTCACAGCGCTGCGTTTAACCTGCTGCACCACTGGGGAGGCCCTGATTTGTCTATTTTTTGTCATTATCAGAACCTTGATTATTGTAGCTTTGTAGTGAATCTTAAATATAAGATTAAGTAATATAAATCCTTCTAATTGTTCTTCTTTTCCAAAATTGTTCTGGCTGTTCTAGAGTCTTTGTAATTCCATATAAATTTTGATATTTTGATATCAGTTTGTTAATGTCTACAAAAGAGCTGCTGGAATTTTGATTGGGATTGTATTTAATCTTTTGGGAAAAATTGACATCATAATTAATGTAAATGCTAAAACTACAAAATTTCTAGAAGAAAATATAGGTGAAAATCTTCGCGATCTTGAGTTAGGCAAAGATTTATTATGTAGAACACACAAAAAAAAACCCCACAAAAAAAGCAGAAAAGTTGATAAAATGCATTTAGTCAAAATTCAAAACTTTTGTTCTTTGAAAGCACCATTAAAACATAAAAAGATCACATAGCTGGAAGAAAATACTTGCAAAATACATACAGAGGATTTTTGTTCAGAATATATTTATAATGAATAATCTTCAGTAGTAAGAAGATAAACAATAATAAAAAGTGGCCCAAGATGTGACCAATTATATCACAGGAAAGATACATGAATGACTAGTAAGGACTTGAAAAGATGATCAACATTGTTATCATCAAGAAAAGGTGAATTAACCAGGGGCCGGGAATCACTGGCAGGCCTCCCGGCCCTCCCGGGGCCCCTCCCCGCCGTGTGCCTGGTAGACTCATTGGAAGGCTGAGGAAGCCACTGAGGGCTCCAGGACTCCTCCTTTGCCCATCTGCTCGGGCCATAGAGAACCTGCACTGGCCCATCCTGCCTCTACATCGCCCCACTTTACAAATGAGCAAACTGAGGCACAAATCTGGTTAGTAACTCTCCCCACAGCTAGTAACTAGAACTGGGATATGTACCTAGCAATCTAGGAATCCACACTTTAAATCACAATTCTCTGCTGCTTGTATAATAATAAAGAAAATAGGAATGAAAAAAAAAAAAAAGAAAAAAGAAAGAAAAAAAAAATAAAAGGTGAATTAAAACTGGGAGATACCACTCTGTCTATATATAGCTGCTAGCTAAATTTAAAGTGCTGATCATAAATAAGCATTTGGAAGATGTAGAGAAACGGGAATTCTTGAACATTATGCAGGAAGTATAAAATGGTAAAACTACTTTGGAAAGTAGTCTGGCATTTCTTACGGACAGTTGATTTCATTCCCAGACATTTACAGTCCAAGAGAAACGAAAACATCTGTCCAAAGACTTGTACACAAATGTTCTTTCATAGCAGCTTTATTCATAGTAGCCCCAAAGTGAGAACACCCAAATATCTCTCAGCAGATAATTAGATAAATTGTAGTATGTGCGTTTTAACAGGAAACTACTTACCAGTAAATCACCACAGCACATGAATCTCAGAAACATGATACTGAGTGAAAAGCCGGATAGAAAAGAATACATATTGTATGGTTCTATTTTGCTGAAATTCTAGAAAAAGGCAAAATTTTAGAAACTGAAAACAGATGGGTAGTTGCCAGGTGCTGGCCATGGGAGGAACATACTGACATCAAAGTGGACAAGCAGGCCTCCCCAGTGGTGCAGTGGGTTGAGCGCAGCGCTGTGAAGCTGTCCACAGCCTCTGCAGTGCTGGTTTGATTCCTGGCCAGCCAGGGAGATACCCACAGGGTGCGGCAGACCTCTCTTGTCTTGCCCACTGCTCCCCTCAGCAGTGTATTTTAGTCAGTCTGCCTGTTCTCGTTCCTGCTTTGTCTCTGGTGAATCCTCTCACCCTCTCGTGCCTCTGGCCCGTACCCCAGTTCTTGTATAAATAAATAAATCTTAAAAAAAAAAAAGGCATTCCGTCCATTTTTTTTTTTTAAAGTGGACAAGCAAACTTCTTGGATTATGCCCATGTTCTCTATCTTGATAATGGAAGTAGGTACATGGAACTATCTACTTGTCAAAACTCGCTGAATTGTACACTTAAATAGGTAGATTTACTTGTAAATTATACCTCATTAAAAAAAAAAGAGTAAGTGATTTCTTTACCCACTCACTTTGTGGCAAGCCTTCTTCAGTGCATTAGCATTCTTCTAAGGCATAAGGTTGAACCTACTGTCTCAGAGTGCTAGAGATCATACTACAGAGACGGGGAGGCAGTCCTTGGGAAATTTCCTTTAATTCGTGCACATTCTTTTGTACCTACTGATGAAGGAATATAGGAAACAGTCTCCTTCCTTGTACACTTATTCTATTCTTATTCTGCCAGATCTGTTCACTGGAAAGATTCCGCTCCTTACAGGACAAACTACAGCTTCTAGAAGAAGCAGTAAGCATGCATGATGGAAACGTCATTACTGCAGTGAGTTGTGGGTTTTAATTGTTATTTCATCACTTTCTGAATATTCAGTCAGAATAGACTTCAACATTTTAGTTCAAAGGTCAAGTGAAGGTCCTGGATTTGCTCTTGTGGTGTGGGATTCTCATAATACGTGCTCTGAGGCTCAGCTGGGAGGACGTGCAGTAGATTGGCCACTCCGTGTTCTGAAAAAGAGCTGTCTCTTGCAAAAGGAGATGCTCTCACTATTGTGAGCATGGGCACATGGACTCCCAAGATATAGCTCGGCTCCTGATGTCTGTTCCCTAGTTTTCCATCACATACAGAAATCTGTGAGCCTGCAAAGTCCTAATGAATTGCTGAGAATTCCTGGGCATTAGGTGCTCAGGGTAGGACTTTGTCTTTGAAAGACCGTACAGGGCAATTCATTCATTGTTTTCTTTTCCTCTAGGTTCTCATCTTCCTGAAGAGAACGCTGAGCAAAGGTGAGCATGATTTGAGGGAAATCTTCAGTCAGCAAGATCTCCGCTACATTTGAAGGGAGAATGGCATTGTGGCCTTGCTACCAGATTTCACCAGCATCAAGTATGCTTTAGAGACAGTAGGGGTAGCCTGAGTCTTTATTTACGGTACAGAAGCATAGCCGCATTGGTTTGAGGAAGTCAGAGTCGATGCTCAGTGCCTGCTATTTGTATTGGTGGGAACTGAAAGCTGACTCAGTGAGTCAGAGTTGCAGTGGACCATGGAGTGTTTTGATAACAGATTGGACCACAGGAATGAGTACCATAAAAAACATTCCTAACTTCTCATTAATTTTGAGGAGATAATATTTGGGGTGTGTGAGTAGGGAGATCAGTTTCACACTTGAGTTATAGGCTTAATCTTTCCCTGCCTAACTTCCTGCCTGCCAGAGATCCTCTTCCGGGAGCTGGAGGTGCGACAGGTTGCCTTGAGACATCTCATTCACTTCCTTAAGGAAATAGGGGATCAAAAGTTGCTTTTGGACCTCTTCAGGTAAGAACTGATCATCTGTCTGTAAAGTTTATTAAGTATTTTGTTCAAAGCACTCCAAGGGGTACAGAGAAAGAGAAGACATTGGGTGTTTTGTTTTCCTGGAAATTCTTCTTGCACAAGGATAAAATGTAGTTGGTTAATAATAATACCCCACAGCCTGTGAAAAGATGACAATATAGCAGGGGGCTCTGAAATCAAGCACATCTGAGTTGAATAGTGGCTCTCCATCAGTGACTTCAAACAAGTTACCCAACTTCTTCAAGCCTCAGTTATCACACCTGTAAAGTGGAATGATCACACCTACTCCACAGGGTCATTATGAAGGTTAAAAGACTTAGTATGTGTAAAGCACTTAGCATCATGCTTAATCTTACAGGAGACCCAAAATAAAGGTAGCTTTTATTACTTGGTCCTCAGTGATGCTACTGGAAAGTACTGTGGAGGAACAAAAAAAGTAAATACAGTTTTCAATCAGAATCCCCAAGGAAAGCTTCGTAGAGGCAGTTAGGAATTAAGGTGGGTCTATGAGACTGGGTAGGATTCTGATAGGTGGAGAGGCAAGAGGTGGGCAAATTTGCTGGGGCTCTTTGAGGGGAGATGTCCTCTGTCATATTTTCCTTCCCGATCTCATTCTAGTCATTCCCACCCTTAGATTAAAGTGTGTGTATATAACATCTTTTCTTTCCTGTCAGGGAAGGGGTTGGGACCTCTGTTCAGGCTGACATGTGGCCCTTGGTTTTTCCAGTTACCCAGTGACTCCAGCACAGTAAGGAGCTGCCCCAAAAACTAAAGTGGGGAAAGCGGATCACCTGTGCAGGTCCCCCTTACAGATGGCTAGCCAGGAGTTTACAGAAGGCATGTTTATCAAGAAAGGCTGTTTCCTCCCTCCCTTTTACCCTTTTTCCCTTCCACCACGCACCTACCCTCCCTTATCCCCATGTGACTTGGTTAAGCATCACCTCTACACCAAAGCAGGGGTATTTATTATAGCGGTCCAATCAGAGTAAGAAGAAATCAGAATATAAAAATCCTTGTGCTACAGGGCCTTCCTCCCTGTTAGGAGATACAGCACACACTGTACTGAAAACAATATAGAGAATATTGAAATCTGTTTCCAAGATTATATTGACAGAAGTGCTTTAATCCTTCAAAAAATAAACCCATGATATTACCGTGGGCTAAGGTTTTGTGGAAGCTCTGAGACTCTCTATCAGGCCTGTTAACATTTCAAAGTTACTAGTGACCTGTAATGCCTTCTTGTCTTGACCTTGCTTTTTGCTCAGCTAGAAAGATCAGAGAAACAATGATATCTGATCCACTGTGTGTTTTCAAGGGGTTGCTGGTGGTAGAGAGTTGAAGAGGGGCTTATCTTGTGCATGGACAGAAATGAGTTTGAATTGTGTTTCTCCTAGAGCAGTCATCCTGTTTTGTGAGGTTATACTGCCACACATAAATAGATAAAAATGCTCTGCTCCCTCTGCTTTTTCCCAGGTTCCTAGATAGAACAGAAGAGCTTGCGGTAAGTGTGGCCTTTGTTTCAGTTGGGGAACTATTTTACAGAAATCTAAGTCAAATCCAATCTCTGAGATCCCTTTCCTTCCCTTTATTATATTCAGAAAAGGGGGGCATCTGGGAAGCCTGAAAATATAATACAAATGATGTCCTGTTTTCTTTCTTTCTATAGCTTTCTTGGTTGGGTTTATGAATAAATACCTTTTGAATAAATTGTTTGGAAACTGGCCTGATCTAGTTATAATTTGTGTTTTAACTTCTGGCTCTTATACAACCCTAGTTTGTAAGAGTTTTTTGGATTTGGGCTCCCAATACTAAAGACAATGTTGAAAGCTAAGAGGGATAACAAACCCAATATAGGTCAAGCAGCAAGGTAGGTGAAGCTGGTGGCGCAGCCAGTGTGTGTTTTGACTGAGCACTCAGTGATATAGTGCAAAAGGTATTTTAGGCAGATTTTTACCTTTATAGAAAGAACTCCAGGGGAATACAAGAATATATCTGAAATTTTACCAAAAGTTCAATAGTTGTATAAAAAAATTCAGTAATGCATTTTTCAAAGCTTGACAATATAGGCAGAGGTCAGACTTTCTCAGTGCCCTCAGTGGCGGACTGGTTTTGTTAATGACTATACTGCACATTTGTGATAATATGGATACTCACAATCAACTGGCACAGTTCATAATATTGTTAAGCTTATTTGCATAGCAGAATGTAATTCAGGAGAAGGTTTTTCAGTAACACTTTATATAAAAGGAAGTTGTACTTAATATTTAAGGCATGGGGAAATCTCAAAAACCCTTTCTCTTAAAGAAAAAGAAAAATACCGGATGGTCTCATGGCTCGGCAGACCCCTTCTGTCTCACCTGCTGCTCCCTTTAGCAGTGTGTTTCAGTAAATCTGCCTGTTCTGCTCCTCACTCTTTGGTGAATTCTCTCACCCTGTGCACTTCTTGCCTACACCCCAGTTCTTCTACAAACTACTTAAAATAAAAATAAAATAAAGCTTAATATTCATCATACTTATTTTGTTTAGATTGGTTTTTGTTTAGATGGTTTATCATGCAAGCTGTTGTATATAAATTTGGAGTTTTCCTGCCTTGTAAACTTTGGTAGTGGCAAAGATGATAGTCTAGTTTCTCTAGCCTAGTCTTAGTTTATCCTTATAGAATATGAAATTTTCCCAAGTAGAACTTTTTCCTAAAAGACTTAGGCCAAAATGAAATTGAATAATAAAAAATTGACTATAACTTTCTTTAAGGTTGCTTTCTTTAATATTAAGAAATGATTATGTACCAAATGCTTGATGCCAAATATATTATAAAGATTACATTATAACATGATGTAGTCTTTGCTATTCTATTTTATATTATTTACATTTTATATGCATCTGCCAGTTCATTCTTTTAATATTGATATTAACTGTTAACCTGTTTATTTTTCAGTTTTTGAAGTTTTTAATAGTATATAAAATTGCAGTTTTCACAGTCATCATAATTATTGATCTACTGTTACATCATATTTATGTTACCTCATATTTAACCCTTGTAATAGAAAATATTTATATTTCAGTTAGTTTTTTATAATTTCCAAATAGAAAACACATAGGTAAATTTTCTTTGAATTACATGTAGAACTTATAGTGCTTGAGTATGAATATTTAGCTGTCAATTGTGAATCAGCATGTCGATGCTGATTTGCATGTTCATGCTACTGTTGATCATATACAAGGTCAAGGATTTAAAAAATTACATTAGTAGGCATTTAGCTCTTAAGCTTTTCAAGCACTAGGACTGAAGCAAAAACTGGTTTTGCTTTAATACTGAGACTAAAGCCAAATTTCAGAGTAATGGTAGGTGTTCTACCTGCTTAGTGCTTCAGTATGGGTCAGCACTATCCAATATAACTTCTACAGTGATAGAAATATCCTATAATTGTGCTGTTTGATATGGTAGTCATTAGTCACATGGTGTTACTGAGCACTTAAAATATGACTAGTGCCATAAAATACCTGAATTTTCAGTCTAAACAGCCATTTGGGTAGTGGCTACTGTATTGAATATTGTAGTTACAGTTAGACTAAAGAGTGATTTTGATTTTAGCCCTTGCCCCCATTCATACCCAGAAGAAATCTCTGATAATTAAAAATTTCCTTTTTGAGCATGGAAGGTCTACTTATGGGGCTGCCCACCCTTCGAAAGAGATAAAATAGCTCAATGCCTTTCTCTCTCTTTTTTTTTTTGGTAGCTATCCCATTATCGAGAGCACTTGAACATTCAGGACCCTGAGAAACGGAAAGAATTTCTTAAGACCTGCGTTGGGTAAGAGTGGACGAGCAGTGGTTTTAAGTATAAATACCTTTATACAGAAGGAATGAAGAGAATAAAAGAGGCTGGAATGGATAGATAGTTGAAAGGTTAACAGTAGATCATAGGGGCATCTCTTATTTAGTAGTTCCCAAACTCTAGACCTCAGTAGTTTTCACAAATTGGGGATAAACTGAGAAAAATAAAGATAATGAGAATTTTTCCTGCAACTAAACGTAAAGGATTTCTTTTGCTCCTCTTACTCCCCCTGCCTTTTTGGCAGTAAAATGAGTTGTAATTTTTTTTGTTTTACATTATATATTAAAAAGTGGGCAACACTGTGTGTATGCATATATGTGTATATATGTATACGTATATATAGATGTATATGTGTGTATGTATATACGTATCTATAAATATATATATATTTCCCCCACAATGTTTCTTGAAATCCCAAAGTTGAACCAGTGATCCAGTGCAAACCTTAATCCAGAATATGAATCCCTGGGGGGAAAAAAATCTCATGTAATATTCTTCCATTTATGGGACTATCACTGCTCTTGGAAGTAACTTATTTTATCTCTGGACAACCTTCTTTATCGCAGTGTGCTTTCCCATACTGAGCTGAAAGCCAGGTTCACTGTTCACAGTGGCTTTAGTCACTCCTCATGTGATGTGATTTCCAGGCTTCACATTTAGAAATTTGTCCATGTCAATGCAATCCTTAATTTTAATGTTGCCACATATCTGAACAGTAAGTTAGAATAATGCAGGAACTAGACCTCTGGCTGCCTCCCTTTATCTTTTCTAAAAATTGGCGTGGCTCACACTTATCTAGGATAGTGTAAGTGAATTTCAGAATTCTGCAGTGCTTGGAGTAGGAGAATAAGGCAGCATTTTCTACAGGATAGATCTATGAACTGGGAGTTAAAAATCTGACTTCACTTCCTGGTTTCACCCATTTATTGATAGATACCCATGACTTTTAGGCAATTCACTGTCCCTCAGCCGCTTCATATGTAAAAATATGATGTGGTGTTGAAGGTGGGATTCTTGACATTTGTGTAGATCTTTGAGGTCTTTACCAATCTACAGATGTACCACTGTGACATGTAGTTTAATACTTTGCAATAAAAAAATGGCTTATAAACGGAAGTGCCCTCTAAGGAGAGTTAAGCATTGAATTGCAGTGGTGTGAACCACTGAGCCTTCCTGGGATGTGCGTGATGGGCAATAGGCTCTGCTTGCTCACTAGTTAATGAGAATCACTCATCAAACGTTCCAATGAGAGAATTCTAAATCATTCCTAAGCCAAATCACTACTGACTATATTTTGTGGCTTTTTGGGATCCCTCTTGTATTGGCAAAACCTTAAATATGAAATCCCAGCTAAAGACACTATTTTCTGCTTTATCTCTCTGCCTTTCAGGGATGCTCTGATGGTACATTGAGATCACATTTGTGAAGCACCATGAGCCTTTTATACTTACAGTGGTGATTTGGTTTAGCTGGGTTTGCTTCTTGTTTGAGTAGAGAAAGAAGTACTAACCTTTTGGCCTTCTACCAGTTTGCCATTTTCAGCAGAAGATTGTGCACACATACAAGACCATTACACGCTCCTGGAACGTCAGATCATTATTGAGGTTAGGCTCCTCATCTCTACATTCTCTGCTGATTGCCAGTCAGCGTCTAGGACACTTCTATGCTCTGCCCATCTATGTCATTTCCTATTATTGTCTCTAAGACCCATTCATTTCCTCTCTGTATGTGGCAGCCCCCTAACCACCATTGTTCTCAGACTTCATTTTTAGTTTAGTGGGTTTTTTTTTTAAGATATTTATTTATGCATACAAGAACTGGGGTGTAGGCCAGACGTGCTGGGGTAGATGGGGTTGGGTGAGAGGATTCACCAGAGACATAGTGGGGAGCAGAACAGGCGGGTTGACTAAAATACACTGCTGAGGGGAGCAGCGGGTGAGACAGGAGAGGTCTGCAGCACCGTGTGGGTAGCTCCCTGGCTGGGATTGAACTCTTGCTGCAGTGACTGCTGATAGCTTCATAGTGCTGAGACTTAACCCCTTGCACCACCAGGGAGGCCCCTGAGTCTTCATTTTCATTCCAGAACTCCCATTTCATCACCACTGCTCTGGCCTTCATCCAGTGTGGATCGTCATCATTTTATGGTTTTTAAACTTCCCTGGGTTATCTCAGTTGATTTCTTTGTCTCTTTTTTGGATTTTTCTTGTGGTAGGAGAAACAACTATAGTATTATGGTTTCTTGCCTTTTTTTTTCTCTTGACTCACTCCACCACAGGCAAATGATCGGCATCTAGAGTCAGCAGGACAGACTGAGATCTTCCGGAAGCACCCCCGTAAAGCTTCCATCCTCAACATGCCACTAGTGACGACGCTTTTCTACTCCTGCTTCTACCACTACACGGAGGCAGAGGTACAGGCAAAATATGAGCGAGACCCCACACACTCTGACTGCACAAGAGGAGCATAGTTCTAATCCAGTAGTTTGATGCACTTTATAAACTGTAGGTAAAGTTAGTTCTCGGAAATGCACTTGGAAGCTTCTCTGGCTTTCAGCATTAGGTGCTAAGAGGGAAAAAAGGTTGTAAGTGTTGACGTGGCTTCCAGTGAGCTGGCATGCAGCATAGCACAACTGTCTCTTTCCACACGTCCATAATTTCAAATGGATTGATGCAGTATAGAGCAGAAGAGCAACAGGGTGCTAGGTAACTATGGGTCCCTCAAAAAATATTTTCGAAGAGGTTTGTATGTAATGATCATAGATGGACATGATCATAGTCATAGGATTAGCATGAAACTGGGAAATACACTCTACTTCTAATCCAGTCCTATAAAGCTAGATTATGGTATTATTTACTTAGAGCTGATGAAGCTCTTAAAATAATTTCCAGGTATAAATGATTTTCAGAGTGAAATATAAGTAGTGGAAAAAAAGCAGGAGATGGGTGATATTCGGGAAAGTCAGTAACGCTAAAATTCCTTCTGTGCTTTCATCCTAGGGGACATTCAGCAGTCCAGTCAACTTGAAGAAAACATTTAAGGTAGATATAAATTGGTCAGTGTTTTGATAAAAGTGCTATCAGAGTGGCTGTTGCTTTCTAACTGCCTAGTCAGGGTTAGCATAGCCCTGATAATCAAGATAAAAGATAGAAAGAAATGCGTTTGTGGCAAGTGAAAGAAGGCTTTAATTGGGGCTTGGGGACTAAGGGATTATTGAAGAACTGAGAGAGTTATGGATTTTAAGGAGCAGAACAAATAGCAGGCAACGTTTTACCTATATTTTCCAGAATTCTGAAGTACTTCCCCTGATACAGTTTTACTTCCTCTTAATTCTCCCTGGTTTCTGCTTTCCAGATCCCAGACAAGCAGTATGTGCTGACAGCGCTGGCTGCACGGGCTAAGCTTCGTGCCTGGCATGATGTTGATGCCCTCTTTACCACAAAGGTGGGTGCCTTGGAACTGTTAGATGCGCTCATGTCTTGGAGAGATCACCTTGTCACCCCATGCCTCATAGGAGTGTTGAGTTCTAGTTATTCATTTACATTTTCCCCTCCAACGTTTTATTTTCCAAAAATTTCAAACCTAAAGAAAAGTTGAAAAAACAGTATAATGAACCCCAATAGTCTTATTCACTAATGCATTAACATTTTGAGAAAGAGAAAGCATATACCATTTTCCTTTTGCTGAGCCATTTGAAAGTAAGTTACAGACATTATGATAATTCTCCCTTAAATACTTAATCATTTTTCTCCTTCACAACCACAATATTGTTATCACTCTCAAGAAACCTAAGATAAATATAGTATTATCATAGATAGTTTGTATTTAAATTAACTCTTTAGAACTGGCTGTCGTTTTTTGTTTTTGTGTTTGTGTCAGGATCCTGTCACGGATTTTGCATAGTATTTTATTGTCACGTGTCTACTGGTTTGCATTTTAAATACTCATTTTTTTCCATCATTGGTTTGAAAATTCTGTTTTTCCTCTTTGTAGGTTCCTCTGTCATTGTCCACCTGTTCCTACCTCATTCCATTCCTCAAGGGACACTGTTAAGCTCTGTTAAAAGTTTGATGGCTGGCTTTCCAGACCCTTCCTCATGTATTTACAAATACACATCATTATATACATATAAATGATGTAGAGGATAAGATTTTTCTACCCAGATAAGTTCAAACTATAGATATTACAAATATTACTTCGTTTCATGGCTTTTTTTCTGCACTTGAAATTACTTCATGCCTCTGACTCCTTTGCACCCTGAGAATTTCCTTGAGTCTTCGCTCTTTTCCAAGCACTCAAGTTCCTTGACTGTTCTGAAAAATTCATCTCTCCATTTCCCTATCCCTAAACTCCCACCCCCTCTGTCTACCCTCACTACCACATTATTCTGGTCTGACCATAAAATGTAGGGAAACTAGGTCAGAGCACACTGAGCGTGTGTGGCCTAGCTGCTGCTGCTCCATCTTCTTTTCAGAACTGGCTGGGCTACACTAAGAAGAAAGCACCCATTGGCTTCCATCGAGTTGTGGAAATTTTGCACAAGAATAGTGCCCCTGTTCAGGTAATGGCTCCTGAAGAGAATTGGGTATAGGATCTTCTAGCACATCTATCTTTTTGCCTATTAATAGTCAGAGATTGGAGACCTAACCTCTTCTGGCTAAAAGCAACATAATGGCTTGTTGGGCCTTGAGCTAGAAAAGGCCAGAGAGGGAAGTTCTCCTCTGCCATCTAGAAGTGATCCCAGACTGCCCTCTCTGAGGAGCATCTACTGTGGAGAGTACTGACTTACTGTTCAAATGATGCAAAAGGAGAACACACTGAGAAAGCATGCCAAGGGCAGTGGGCACAGCATTGGATCAGGTCCATCGCAAGCCTGTTGCTGGCATGAGCGTCTAGTGCTCGGATATAGAGAAATGTGTTTTTCTGTTTACTGGGGAGCATAAAGAACTGTGGAGAGTTTACCTCATTTCTCACTGCAGAACTCTTCCTGTGGTTGATGATGGGAGTTATGGATTTCAGATACTATAAACAAACTCTTTTGTTTTCTTCAGGATTTTCTCCCCTACCTTTTAGAGCTCTTTGTTCTATGGGTCTGAGAATCTTTTTGATTAGAAGTACCTCTTCCCATAGGTATTACAGGAATACATCAATCTGGTGGAAGATGTGGACACAAAGCTGAACTTAGCTACCAAGTTCAAGTGCCATGATGTTGTCATTGATGTGAGTCCCTCAAGAATAAGAACTCTGCTTTAGATGACTGTGGAGGGTGGGGGATCACAATACTCTCTGTCCTGTATCCTGAGATACTTCCATCAGTTTTGACTTCGTGGACAAAATGGTCTGGCAAGAGTTAGTCTGAAGACCAGCTCTCTTGTATTATTTCCCAGCCCTCTGGTTTCTCTGTGCTTTCATAAACATGTTGCATTTGAATTCATAGAACTAAGTCAAACCACGTGAACTCTGTGGACTTCTTTCCAACATGAAGTTCTGTTGAACTTGACCCCACTGTCATCCCACTGAAGCCTCCCAGCCCTTCGTTGAACCTTGGCTCAAAATAACAGGGACAGTGTTTCTGTCATGTAGTGGTTATCATGGTCACCTGACAAAATGACAGTGACAGAAAGGAAAAGGTCCTCACAGGGAAAACTCATTAGGGATTTGTATTGTTTTTCTCTTGGTTTGCAGACCTGCCGGGACCTGAAGGATCGTCAGCAGTTGCTGGCCTACAGGAGTAAGGTGGATAAAGGGACCCCAGAGGAGGAAAAGATCGATGCCATTCTCAACAGCTCGGTGAGCAGCTACAGGCTACCCTTCCAACAGCCTTAGAAGACGGATGGTTCACAGAGTCGCAACAAGTGTATTTAGTCTTAAGGCCTGGCCGGACAGCAGTCGGCTGAGCCACATGAAAACAGGATCTCTTACGGGCCTAACGGTCAAAGCATTGCTTTGAACAGCAGAAATTACTCCTGAGATATGAGGTGATATAAGGGTAATATGGGCACCTCAGACTGAGACTTAACTGTAAGGCTCCGATCCTTGTTAAACCTGGCAGGGAGGAGGGACTATAGAAGTATAGACATCCACTGGGGCATTCAGACTATCTAGACTGTCTAGTGTCCTGAGGATACAGATGACATACTCGTTGGAAATTAGAAGTGGATGAAATAGATTTTAGTTCTTTGGGGTACACAGTGCATCTCATAAGATGAAATTGCTGAACTTTTTCTTACTATGGAGCTTAGTTCCCTGATAGATCTTGAGGCCTATCCTGGGGTCATCTGAAACTAGTAATTCTTGGTCATGAGGAAGGCAGAACCAGAATAAATGCCCTAAATCACCTTCTGGGACACAGAGTGGTGTTTAATCCAAATCTGAACAAATGAACTCTCCCATTTATTAAAATTTCTCAATCTCCGCCTCCATTCTTCTTTTTCTTACATCTTCTAACTGTGAGCCTTTTTTTTAATTGCATTCCCTCAACCTCTCTGTAGAAATCAGTGAAAATTGATCATTGTTTGTTCTTTTCACAGCAAATTCGATGGAAGAATTAAGTGGCATCAGCTGCCCTGGAACCTGCCTCATCTCTTCCTTTCCTGCCTGTGAAAGAGAAAGCTCTTTTTGGGGAGAGTTACAGCATCACACTACTGAGGCCAGTTCTCAGCAAGGAGTGCCTGCTGCTCTTGGGACAGAAATCAACACTTGGGCACAGGCAGCTTCAGGCTGATCTCTCCACAGGCCATCATCCAAAGGCCATGAGAAAGGCCATGACTCATGACAAAGATCTGTCCACCTGGTGCTCATGTGAAGGTGGGAGTGATTTCTAGATTGGGCCCATATTGGGCAAGATCTCTGTTGGTCGGAGAAGTGACTGCTTCAGAAAAGAAGTCTCCTAGGCTCAGAGGTGTCAAAGGGTGGCCACTCCATTCTTCTCAGTTATTATGGCCTTGGACTTGGTGCTGGACCTTGACAGTTCTGATCTGAAGGAAGTCAGAACAGAACCCAATGGTGTCTCAGAAAGGATGCTAGTGTGGCCAGGACCAGCTGGAGGACTCCTCACCCCAGACTGCACGGAGACCTCCCTGTCATGGCAGAGGTTGCCCACATGTTGTGTTTCTTCAGCCAGTGTCCCTCTGCTGCCCCGTCTGCTGTCTGTCCAGAAACTTGTGGTTCCTCCCTTACCTGCACGCTGAGATGGCTTGTGTGGGTGATAACATTCCCCATACCTGCCCCTCTCCTCCCACCAGATCCATTATCTTACGTGGAGTTCAGATTCAGCAGTGCTGGAGAGCTCTCCCTTTATGCACAAATCTTTTTATTTCACTAGGCACTTCGGAAAGTTCCACCAGGGCTAAACTCAGCAGCATTTCTGACTGGTGGGGTATTAAGATGCAGGTGTTAGCTTCACATTTGGTGTTCAAGAGGATATTCTGTAATGCTGGATTCCTGCCCTATACCAGTATTAGTCTCTCTTCTCTGTGACTGGTTTCCTAGACATGCCTGGACTCCTAATAAAGCTCTTTCTTCCTTGGTGCCTTCTCTTTCCCTTCTAGATGTTTGTGTGCAAAATTGTGAACAACTTGCCTTGTCCATTGGTACCACTACAAACCCGCCTCTTGGACGCATTCAGCACAGCTCAGATTAGGTTATAGCATAGTGGTGCTTTTGGGAAAGCAGGGCTGTGTTGGTTAACAGGAGTACTGAGCTGGGAGGAAAAAAGACCTGGTCTGTTGCCCCAGCTCTACTACCCACAAGCTGTCCGATGCTGGGTGAGTTCCTTCCTCTCTAAACTCATTGTCTTCATTTGTAATAATAGGAGGGCCTGCTACAGAACTGGTGGAGATTTGTGCTCTGTGACTGGAGGTTGACAGAGTAGAAGGAAGAAAATATGCTTGTTCAGAGGCACGCAGCATGCTTTAAGGCAATCTGGTTCTCCACTAGGGGCAACTTTGCCCCCAGGAACCTTGTATCAATGTCTGGAGACACTTGTTACTGCAGCAAGATGAAGGCATGTAGGCCGCTAAACATCCTGAAAGGGCCAGGCTGCCACCCACAGTGTCACACAGAATGTCAGTAATGCTAATACTGAGGAACCTGTGTTAAGGACAGCTGGCTCCAACTCTTGCTCCTACTTTGCAATCCCTTTACCATTCCAAGTAGCCTCATATTTGGTTCAAGATCATCCCTCTTGCTGTTGAAGATAAAAGCTCAATTTGATAAATTATGGTTATTGGCTGATTTCAAACAAACTGCTGACTTCACTAACTAGTTCATCTGTTAGGGTTCATTTAGAGAAACAGACCACTGGGAGTCTAGTCTGTCCAAATTGCCCATCTGTCCATCCATCTATTTAATTTATGGGCTGGATTCATTACAGCAACTGGACCTTAGTCAAGTGTGGCAGTTGGTTAAAAAGTCTTTGGAAGGTTGTCTTCATGTCTGGTGGGAGAGCTGGAAATCCAAAGGCAGGCAAGGGAAGATTGGTATAAAGTGAAGGAGAGCAAGGACATTTTGGAGCCCATGGAATTGGACTAGACTGTGTCACTTCTCACTGCCTCCAGTCTTAATGGGGTGTGCCACAAAAGGGCCCAGGGGGTGGTGTGTCAGGCCAGGCCCAATTGCTGCCCCACACTGATAGGATCACCAGCAGACAACCAAATGCTGCCCCAACCTTGTCAGCATAAATGCAAACTAGCTGCTGCTTCACCTCCACCCTCCAGATCTTGCACAAAAATCCCCCAAATGAAACATACAGGGAAGGGAATTCTGGAAAACAGCCCAGCCTAGCCAACTTTACTATTATAAAGTCACAACCATGGATCCCCATTTTGAGGATGCACAGAGGAGAGACAGACTTAGAATCCATGTTTGTAAAAGTTAATCTGTGCTGCATTGTACATGCTGAGCTGAGAGGTTTTGAGTTTCTCTTTCCTGCATCGCCGGAAACATCGCTTGCAACATTAGGACATTAGAAGGACCTTTCTACTGTTTTGGTGTAAGGAAATGTTTCTTAGACTTGAGAACTTCCATGCATCTTGCTTGAAGTTCTGGAGACTTGGGTGGTTGTTTTTTTTTTTTTTTTAAAGATTTTATTTATACAAAAACCAGGGTACAGGTCAGGTGTCTTGGGGGGGCGGGTAAGAGAATTCACCAGAGACAGAGTGGGGAGCAGAACAGGCAGATCTACTGAAATACACTGCTGAGGGGAGCAGCGGGCGAGTCAGGAGAGGTCTGCTGCGCCATGTGGGTCACCTCCCTGGCAGGGGATCGAACTCATGCTTCACTGGCTGGTGATAGTTTGATGGCTGAAACTTTTACCCCAGCGCCACCAGGGAAGCCCTCAATAAACAATTTAAAAAGAATATTAGAGATAAGTAGTTTTAAATACCAATCTCACTTTTGCCATTGCTATAAAATAGTTTTAAATATCTTTGATTTCTTTTTTCCAGCTTTATTGAGGTATAATTAAAATTAAATATATTAAAATTTGCATTGTGACAATTTGAAAAATATTGTGAAATGATTATCACAATCAAATTAACACATCCATCCCTTCACATAGTTGCCTTTTGTGTGCGTGGTGAAAATGCTTCAGACCTAATTAGCAAATTTCAAGTATACAGCACAGTATTACTAACTTTATTTTTTAAAAAGATTTATTTATTTATACATTCAGGAAATGGGGCACAGGCCAGAGGTGGGGGCATGAGAGGATTCACCAGAGACAGAGTGGGGAGCAGAACAGGCAGATTGACCGAAATACACTGCTGAGGGGAGCAGTGGGGGAGTCAGGAGAAGTCTGCTGCGCCATGTGGGTAGCTCCAGGGCAAGGGATCGTACTCGTGCTGCAGTGGCTGTGGATAGCCTCATAGGTTGCATCTTAACCCCTTGCACCACCAGGGAGGCCCCAGTATTATTAACTTTTGTCACCATGCTATCTTGAGATCCCTAGAACTTACCTTTTTCACTGATTTCTTGAACATAATAAAGGAGAGGTTTGAAAAACAATTCCTTGAGTGCTGCTAAGATCTGTATATTTCAGGCTGCAAAAAAATCTAGTCCAGAACCTTTTGGGGAAAGGAGGGGACCATACTAACCTGGTGAAAGGAATCCATATCCACACGTTGCAAACCCTCTCAGTGGGCTGGCCCCTTTAAGACTCAGAGACTGAAGCAACCTGGTAGCTAAGGAGTCATAATGACAACTTTCTTGGATAATTCTCACTGGAAATGTAGTTCTCCGGGACCAGAAGTACTGAGTAGAGCCATGTCCTCAGTTTGATTGGTGAGAGATATATGCAGATGGGTTTATACGTCTCTGACTTCACTTTCTAAAATGTAGTCCCTGCCCTAAACAATACTGATATTTATATTTTTTTCAGGTGACACTATTTATTCAATATTTTACAAGTAAATTAAAATATTAGTTGCAATAATTAAATTAAAGGAAGTATTGAGTATAAACATATTTTTTCCATAGAAGAAATAGAGAACATTTCCAGTTATCCATGCCTCCCTCTTTACCCGCCACCCCCCCTCAAAAAAAAAACCTAGCTGTGATGTCTTCAAAGGGGAATTACCACTAAATCTTTAAGAGCCGGTAACTCCAATAGGACCATGCTACTTAGAAAACAGTTTGGACTATGGTCTACCCTGTGGGATACAGTTTAGTGAAAGGGAAGAATTTCTTTGAAATATGGTCTAAGTGCTCACTCTTAATTTTAAAACTTAGCAGGAATGGAAGGGAACAGGTGCTGGCCCAAGAGTTCTGTAAACCTCATTGCTAATGTAAATGCATCTGCTGGAAGAAATGGCAAACCTATGTGAAGGAACATTACCTTGGATTTTTGCTCAGGTTTTCCATGAATCCAGGTATTCCTGCTTCATAGACAGCCAGTGCTTAGGACCCCTCTAGGACTCGCAGTCAAACAGAAGTGGATGACAGGTGTCAGTTCAGAAGCTGGGACTGAAGGGTTAAGGCCCATCATCACGAGAACCCGTGACTTGGCGCACACACACCCTCCTGCACGGACACCCTCTGCTTCCAGAACCGGGAGCCAAACTGGTATCTTTCCCTGCAGGAAATGGTGGCTTAGAAATGGACTTGATAGAGGACCTTGAGTCCCTGAAGTTTGAACATGGGATTCAGGAGCAAGACTACAGCTGGCTGTACTTGCAGGGTCGTTTCCGGGGACTGATGGTCAAGGCTTGTGCCCATGCAACCTTCTTCTGCAAGCTGCTCCATAAATTGAGGTAAGCTGGTTTCCAGGTTCAAGCAGGTGGAGAAGAGTCTGTGGAGAATACAGATGATATAAGCATTTCATACCGGAAGATAAATTTGGCAGAGGGAGTATCTTCCTACCTATTCTAACCCATAGTCTAACCCATAGTCTCTCTGAAAGCACCAGGGAGATGCATACCAGGGACCCTTGACTGTGGTTACATAACACAGTATGGGTTAGTGCTGATTTCCTTTCATTTGGTGGATCGATTAAATGATCCATTCATTTACCCATTCACCCACCAGCTTGTCTTCTGCAGCTACTAATGACTAGCCAGTTTATGGATAGTGGCTGAAAATGGAGCCAGTTCTTTATTTTGAGGGTGAGCTAACAGTGGAACGCTCCCTCAAAGGAAAGTCACCTACACCAGTGGGGGTCCCTACGGTCAGGTGATTTGCTTAAAACCAGCAATAAGGATTTGCAGAGAAGCTGTCAGTCCAGTCCATATCTTTGTGCAACATGACTTCAGACAGAGCTGGGTACCTAGGAGTGGACTCCTGGATTCTAGAATTCTGGGTCACTCCTGGAGCATCCCCCCCAACCCATTCCCCACCAGTCTATTTCTTGATTTTCACTGAAATTAGATCAACTCCTACATGGCAAGACCAAATCTGAGTTTGCTGATTGGCTTACTGATAAGGATGCATAAACTTATTGGTTGCATCTGAGATGAATGGTGAGAAGTCAATATGTGAAACTTCCAGGAGGCATTTTATATTTGGAAGGATCAGTCATTGAGAAAATATTCTTCTCTCTGCCAAGAGAGAAGTCTTAAAAATAATGTAGCTTGTGATGCTTTCTGGAAATGCCAGAGTTTGAAGATTCCAATTTTTACATAAAAAATAGAATAAAAAGTTAAAAGAAACAGAACAAATATGTGGTTGTCATAGAACACCATAAAATAATGCTTTGTGGATCCAGACCTCCGACTTTGTTCTTGGGCCAAGGAAACAATTCCAGAACCAACGGAAAGTGAATGTCTGAAAAGAGTGGACTCAAATTCTTGACCGTCAATTTCTAAGAACTGTTTGCTCTTATAAACCACTTACTTTTAGAAATCATAACATTTGAGAGAAGCTAAGTTAGTTGGTTTCCCGGGTCTCTGCAGGACTGAAATAGCAATCCAGAGAGAGCTGTCACGTGGGCAAAGAGAACTGACCTCTGTGCCCAGGAAACAACAAAGGAACTGGCCACAGCTCCAGATGACGTGGAACAGTGACCACTCACACGAGGGTGCTGAGCCACAGAAATGGTTAGCTATTCACATCTCATGTTTAAGAAGGCAGGGAATTAAATACACAATACATGTAACACAATGTTTATTTACAAATGTTTTAAACAAGTTTCGGTGCCATGAAGGAATACACTTTACTTTCTGGAAAATTCACTCAGGAGGACCATTTCAGTCCCTAGTGGTATTAATTGGAATGCTTATCCCTGGAGTACTTAAGGTGCCACCAGGCTGCCACACAGACATTAAAATAGAGATGTCAGAGGCTGAGAGTCAAGAACAGCCACAGGTGTGTGTGTGCTTATGTGTGTGTGTCTGTGTGTCCATCCTGCAGAGCATCACTACCTGAGAAACTAACCAACTTGGGGGAATCGCTAGATAACAGCGCTGCTGCTGATGAGCTGAGAGTGGGCATTATTGGAGGCGGCCACCTTGGGAAGCAGCTGGCTCTGACACTGCTTCAGCTTGTCCCCCTCCCTGCGAGGAACCTTCGGATCTCCACGCGGAGGCCAGAGACCCTGGGTAAGGCTCATGGGAGAAATGGGCCTTGGGTGTGCTTCTCAGGTGTTGACCAGGCCATTTTGAAAGGGTCCCTTGAAAGAAGAATCCTTGCCTCTAGCTGGTTCCCAGATTGCTAGCTCTGAAGGAAGCTAGGAAGATGATTTCTTGACTTACTCCTTAAAACATCTTTCTTCTCCACTTCAATGTTTTCTATTCATTTCTCCACCCTATGCTCTTGCAGTGAGGTATACCTTTTTGGTCCTTGATGAGAGACGTTTTCCAGAGTTCAAACCTTACTGGATCAGCTGGCATCCGGGGGGTCAGTGAACCAGTTCCAAACATTTAGCCCAGTGTTTTTAAAAATGACATGTACCAAATAAAAATAAGTTTTGTAGAGATTCCATTTACTAATCTGACAGATATCAAAACAGTGAGACTGAAAAGGGGTGTGAAGGAACTTTTTGGGGGGATGGGAATGTTCACTATATTGAAAGAGGGGTAAGTTCCATGGGATGTATAGGTATTTGTCAAAAATGACAACTGTAAGCTTCTCTGTGTTGCCCTCATCTAAATATACTTCAGTAAGTAGTAAGTATAAAACAATACATGCATATTATAAAAATACTTATAATATGCAGGGAAGTAAATAATAACTACTATCACCCCCTGACCATATTGCTGGCATTAGCAAGAACACTGGAGGGAACTCTACCCTGCTTTTTTCAGTTACTGTCTTATGAGCATATTCTCATATCATCTGACATCCTGCAAAATCATGTTAAGGCCGTATAGTACTCCCAAGTAGGGCTATACCATACTTTATATAACTATGTACTATTTATTTGGACTACTACTACTATTTGGACTACTTTGTATGTAATTTTATAAATAAAATTACTATTCAAAGAACAGGTGTAGCTTTATTTAAAAAATAATTTGTATGCAATAAACTGCACATTTAGAAAGTGTATAGGGCCTCCCCTGGTGGCGCAGCGGTTAAGCGCTGGGTTGCAAGGCTGCCCGCGGCCTCTGCAGTGCTGGTTCGATCCCCGGCCTCCGGCAAGGGTCCCACAAAAAAAAAAAAAAAAAAAAAGTGTATAATTAGATATTTTGACACATGTATGCAGTTGCGAAACTATCAACATAAGAAGGTAAGGAACACATCAGATGCCAGAAGTTTAGGAATTCTGAGACAGGAGAGTTCCCGTCTCTCTCTGCCCCTGTAGCCCTCCACCCAGGAGGCCCCTGATCTGAGCACAGCCACTGATTAGTTTGCATTTTGTAAGGATTTTATATAAATGGAATCATATAGTTTTATTTTTTTTTTGTTTGGACTGACTGCTTTCACGCTCACTTCTTTTGTTTCCTCTAGGTGAGTTCCAGAAACTCGGAATCCAGTGTTTCTACCATAACACTAAACTGGTCGAGTGGGCCAACGTGGTATTCCTCTGTTGCCTGCCAGCCCAGCTGTCTCATATCTGTGTCAAAATTCAACCCAGCCTCAAGGAAGTCTGCATCGTGTACAGCTTTGTCGCTGCCATCCCAATAGCCAGGTACTGTTGTTGGGATGAACACGGAATCTGCAAACAGGCAGAACTGCTCTCCCCTCACCTCAGGCTTCTGCTTCCCAAGAAGCCCCTGACCCTTGGCTTGGTTGTTTCCCATAATAAGGTAGAAGCAGCTTCTTTTGCAGAAAGACCCTTCCTCATTGCATCTCACCAACCTATCCACAAACTGCTTTTGAGGTGGGTCATTTTCTTTGGTGGGCAATTGTTTAGAACACATGGTGCAGGGCCTCCTGCTCCCTAAAGACAACTAGTGTTCCCTGTGCACTAACGAGAAGGGAAACCACCAGTCAACAGCAGGAAAGTGACTGAGAATACGTCTCACAGATTATTTTTATATCCCGGTGTCTAGCCCAGTGCATGGCACGTGATCACATTCAGTAAGTGTTAGATGAATGGCTGGACTACTAACTGCTCAGTAGTCTTCTTGGTGCCCCACACCTTTTGGCCTGGGAGCAGCACGCAGGCCTGGGCTCGGGTGTGAACTCAGTGGCTCTCGTGATTAGTCGGCACTGAACCCCCTATCGTGGTGGCTTTTTGTTTCCAGATTGAAACTCCTACTGAACCACACCAACATCTTGCGGCCTCAGTATCAGTGTGTTGCAGATTTTGTCAACTTCTGGGGGACCAATAAGGACGTCACAGCTGCTCTCCAAGACCCCGCAATTCTTCAGGCCACCTGTCCCTACAGCTCTGCTGGTAACAGCTCACTGCTTAGAAGATGGCCTTCCTGCCAGCCTGTTGCTATCATTTTAAATCCTGGGTGTGTGTGGTGGGGGGAGTACACACTAGCTATATCCTCAGCTGTTTAGACTTTGTATGGAAATGGTTTTGGAGGCAAATAACTGCCTTTATTAGGAAAAGCTGAGAAGGCTGATTATTAGGAACCTGTAAGGATGAACTGGACAAAGCCAGAGGGGAGAAGGGTGCAGTGTGTGGGACCAAACTGGCTTTTCTCTGCTCTAATCTTGCAGTTTCCCTTAGTCCCTACTTCTTATTGACAAGATCCATTTTAGAGATTTCTGGAGATGCTTTTGCCATTAGCAGTGTCTCTGTTAGTCCTGTCTGTCCTCCTGCAGCAGGGTCAACACCTGATGTGTTACATGGGGCACTACACAGGGCCCCTGGCCTTAGCTTGAGGTCCCCACGATCAGTCTGTCTTGCAGAACAGTGGCTGTTCACTGAGGGGCTTCCTCTGTTCCCGGCAAATCTGGTCTTGGAGGTGCTAACTGGCATTTTCCTTCTCCTTGGCATATAGGGGGGATTGTCCTCAACATCAAATGGTTGGAGGGAGTGTTCTACGCGTTCCTGAACATCTGCACGGCCAAGGGCCTGCCCCAGACACAGGTGATGCAGCTCCTGAATGAGCTTTTCCTCTCGGTGCACGCTGAAGACTGTGCGGAAGGTAGAGCCAATTGCCCCAAATTTCAGTTACAGGACTTTGTCAGCAGACTCTATGTTAAGAGACTCCCTCATAAAAGGTAAGGTGTCAGCATCTAATCTCCTCACACTGCTGTCCCTCTGCCTTTTTTTCTGTTATCTCCTAAAATTTATATAAACAATCCATGCTTGTAAAACAAATTCCAACTAGTGGAAAAGAGAAGGCCTCCTTTACCCCCCAAGCTCCATTTCACAGACTTTATCTCTAATGGCTTTTATATTTTTGTCCTTTTCCCTAAAGATTTATTTATTTATGCATACAAGAGTTGGGGTACAGCCCAGAGGTATGTGTGGGAGGGGGAGGGGGAGAGGATTCACCAGAGACAGAGTGGGGAACTGAACAGGCAGACTGGCTGAAATACACTGCTGAGGGGAGCAGCAGGTGAGTCAGGAGAGGTCTGCTGAGCCATGTGGGTAGTTCCCTGGCCAGCTGGGGGATTGAACTCATGCTGCAGTGGCTGCAGACAGCTTCACAGGTTGTGCCTTAACCCCTGTGCCACCAGGGAGGCCCTATATTTTTGTCTTTTTACATAGACATTTGCAAACATCTGTTTATACAGTCATATCATAGTGTGTATGTGTATCTGTATCTATCTTGTGGCCACATGGAGACCAGATAGCCTGCTTTTTCATTTTCAGTGTCGTGGATACTATTCTATGTTAATACAATTCTGTTTCACTTATGAACAACAGCAGAGGCAGCTGTTGGAATCATTTAATTAAATGTATTCATCCTGTTTCCTCTAGAAGATGCTGTGGTCCCCCCTAGCTCCAAATTTTGCATAAAGGGTTACTTTGAACATTCTCTTACTTACATTGGTACCAGTATTTCTGGTGGATAAACATCTAGAATTTCTGGGTCAGCAGTTATACCTACTTTATGTTTGACAGGTAGTATTCCCAAATTACTTATCAAAAACGTGGTGCTTATGTAATCTACACCAGGAACGCATGAGTGTGCCTTTCTCTATAGCTGGTAACTGTGAGTAGGATGAATCTTTTTAATTTTCAATAATATGATATGGAAAAGTTGTTGTTCATTCCATTTAATGAACTATTGTAAAGTCAATCCCTACAAAGCTGCCATCAATAGATGAAAGAGAACACTAGGTCCTTTCGACCTGGGTGTAAAGTTCTCCAATGTTTTCCAATCATGTCTGTGATAATTTCCTAGTCTCTTTTCCTTAACTTTTTAATTAGTCAAATGTTGGCTCACTTCACACCCATCAGAATGGCTAAAAGAAATTTGTAGGACACTTGGAAGCTGGTTTGGCATTATCTACTAAAGCTACATTAATATGTAGCATGTGACCTGGCAATTGCATCTCAAGGTATATATCCAACAGAGATGTAGGCACACACTCAGCAAAGGGGGTTGTGTCTTAGTTTTTACCTTTGCTGCCTTAGGATATGTTTTTAATATTAAATCATTATGTTGAATGTTTATCAAGTAGAAAAGTTCCTTCTTAAATGAAGGAGGGACGAGAGAATGTCATCATTTGAACCTATAATGAAATGATGAATCAAAGCCACATCAGCTGAGGGCCTCCCTGGTGGTGCAGGTGGTTGAGCGCCGCACTGTGAAGCTGTCCGCACCCTCTGCAGTGCGGGTTTGATCCCGGACGGCCGGTGAGAATCCCACATGGTGCAGCAGACCTCTCCTGACTCGCCCGCTGCTCCCCTCAGCAGTGTATTTCGTCAGTCTACCTGTTGTGTTCCCCACTTTGTCTCTGGTGAATCCTCTCACTCTCCCGCTCATCTGGCCTGTACCCCGCTTCTTGTATAAAAATAAATAAATCTTTAAAAAAAAAAAAAAAACCAAAGCCACATCAGCTGAGACACTGACAGGGGACTTTGTAATGAAAGGGTCGGACTGAAGCTACTAATCAGTTTTAACAGTGCAGAAAGAGAGACGGTGTGTTTCTGGACAAAAATAGACATTGATGAAATAATATTGCCAAAAAAATCAAACCTGAATTGATCAAGTCTGTACATAAAATTACCTATTTACAGGAAATTCAAGAGACAAGAAATGTTAAATAATGAAACGTAGGCATCAAAATCCAGAATATGGAAAACTTTATAGACAAAAACCTCAATTTCTTTAAGAAATACGCCACAAAGGGAAAAAAATAGCAAGGGGACCTTTTAGGTTTTAAAAAAAAAAAAAGAAGAAGAAGAAGAAGAGGGCCTCCCCGGTGGTGCAGCAGTTGAGCGCTGGGTTGCGAAGCTGCCCGCAGCCTCTGCAGCACCGGTTCGATCCCCGGCTGCTCCCCGGCCACCAGAGGAGGGTCCCGCATGGCGCGCAGACCTCTCCTGGCGCCCGCTGCTCCCCTCAGCAGTGTACTTCGGTCCTTCTGCCTGCTCTGCTCCCCGCTCTGGCTCTGGTGAATTCTCTCACCCTCCCGTGCTTCTGACTGTACCCAGTGCTTGTATAAATAAATAAATAAATAAATCTTAAAAAAAAAAAGACCTTAAAGTCACATTGAGCAAAATGCATTATGTACAATTTGTTTTGACCATGATTCAGACAACCAAAGGCTTAAAAGAAATGAGGTTGTATATTTTATGAAATTAAAGAATTAGTATTGTGGCATGTATTTTTTTTTATAGGTTATTTTTTTTTTAGAGGCATGTTTTATTTATTTGTTTGTTTGTTTTGTTTATGCAAGCACTGGGTACAGTCAGAAGCGCGGGAGGGGGCGAGAGAATTCACCGGAGCCAGAGCGGGGAGCAGAGCAGGCAGAAGGACCGAAGTACACTGCTGAGGGGAGCAGCGGGCGGCAGGAGAGGTCTGCACGCCATGTGGGACCCTCCTTCGGTTGCCGGGGAGCAGCTGGGGATCGAACCGGCACCGCAGAGGCCGCGGGCAGCTTCGCAACCCAGCGCTCAACCGCTGCGCCACCAGGGAGGCCCAGTGTGGCATGTATTTTAAACAAGTATTTTTAAAAGAGATTTATACTCAAAAATGTATGGTTTAAATGATAGTGTCTGGGAGTTGCTTCAAAATAATCCAATAGATGGGGATATAGGACTGGGGAGAGGTTACGGATGAGACAAGATTAGCCATAAATTGATAATTACTGAATCTGGTGATAGGCACATGAGGTTCATTTGACTGTTTTTAAATTTCCTTAATAAAAACAAGTAACTTTCCTCCTATCAGTTGACTAGTCCTCATTCACTAATCCTAATCCTAGTTTTTACTCTACCCAAATGAAAACAAGACAGCACCAACACTGGTTTTCAGGGTGGCTGTACCATTTTATGTTATCACTGGCAATATATAATCCAGTCTGTCTCCTCAGCAACATTGGGTTAAATTATTAATTTTCATTTTACCATTACATCTATAGGTCCACTTGTAGAGAACAGTCATCTTTATGATGTTGAATTTTCCCACCCGTGCTTGAGCAGTTTATTTATTTATTCTTTGATTTATTTCATCAATATTTTGTCATTTTTCCACATGCAAGCCTATCCATGTTTTATTAGATTTACACCTATATATTCTTTTTTGTGTTTGTAAATGGTATTGTATTTTAATTTTGGTGCCCGAGAGTTCATTGTTAATATATGTAAATACTATTGATTTCTGTAGGCTCATTTTGTGTCCATAACCTTGTAAACTCACTTATTTGTTTAAAAAAAGATTTATGCATACAAGAACTGGGGTGCAAGCCAGAGGTGTCGGGGGGTGACAGGATTCACTAAAGACAGAGTGGGAAACAGAACAGGCAGACTGACTGAAATACACTGCTGAGGGGAGCAGCAGGCGAGGCAGGAGAGGTCTGCTGCACCATGTGGGTAGCTCCCTGCCTGGCTAGGGATCGAACTTGTGCTGCAGAGGCTGCGGATAGCTACACAGTGAGGTGCTTAAACCCCTTGTGCCACCAAGGAGGCCCTAAACTCACTTATTATAGGTTTTTTTTTTTTGGTAGTTTCTTTGATTTTCTACATACCCAATCATGCCATCTATAAATAGAGACAGCTTTGTTTCTTCCTGTCCAATCTGTGTGCTTTCATTTCCTTTCTTGCACTGGCTGCAACTGCCAGGACTGTGTTGAGTAATATCCTTACCTTACTCCTAATCTTTTTAACACGATAACAACTCTATGTTTTAATGCTTTTTAACTTGTATTCTGTTACAGACTAATATTTAAGATTGCCCTGTTCTTATTTCCCTGTACAACTGAAGAGGCTATCTTTTGTGTTTATATTTTCAAACCAGTTGGGTGTTAATTCTTGATTAGGATAGGAAAAGATTTAGGGGGCCAAGAAAAGAAGGTCACTGTCCAAAATTCAGCAGAAACCTTCCACATTAGGCTCTCTTCTGTGACACTGCATAGTCTCTGGTGTTTGAATTCCTTTTAAGAACAGCAGCAGCTGAAAAGCACATAAGCCGCCAGCACCATAGATACCGTTGCCATGCTCCCTTTCTTCACATTGATTTACTTGCGTAATGGTAATAACCTCTTTGAAACCTCCAGAAAAGCCTTTAGGGGTGAAATCTCACATCAGTATCCAGGTTGGCAGCTCCCCTGCTTTGACACCAAGAGTTTCTTCTCCTTCAATGGTACAGCTGACATCTTGGAGGCCTGGGTGTCCCCTGTCAGGACAGCTTTTATTTTTAAGAGCATATCGTAAAGTAAATGAAATGTTTTCTCCATGATACGCTTATGTATTCTTTCCAAATTCAAGGAAAAGACACTGAAAAAGACATTGATGTCATTACAATCATTCTCTAATAATCAGTTCGTCCCCAAATGCACTTAGAGAAATGCATATAAATGTGACAACTCATCATAAGTACATAAGTGCACACTGGATAGTTCAGGTAAAATTTTAACTATGAATTTTAATTAATTTGCTATCAATAATGGAGAACTTTATTTACAAATGGATGAAATAAGCTTTAAAGCTACATCCAGTGTTTTGAACAGACATAAACAAAATGTTTTTTTCATCCCAGATTTCTTCCCCGGTTCGATCTAACTGCTGTGCAACTCAGTGAAACACCCTTTAGCCAGCATCTCTCGGCCAACACTGCTCTCCAGGACCACCTCACCTATCTATACTGTGATTCATTTGGCATCTCCCTAAGTAAACAACATTCAACAGTGGATTCCATGGACTCTACATCCCCATAAGAGACCTCAGGAGTCAGGACTTTCTTGCCTTTGTCTATTAGCTCTACATTGGTTGTCTCCTGATTGTCACAATTGACAGTGGGGGTCATGCAACTGTATTGTTCGATATTAAGGAATTACATATTGATATGTTCGATATTAAGGAATTACATAATTCTACTGATGGCTCTTTCAAATGTAGAGTAATGTAGAGTAAAACAAGAGGTCTTTTACACTGGTATCTTCAGGAGGGTTTGACTTTTAGAAGCAATCTAACAAAACTATGTAACCTGACATACTAAGTAAGCTGATTCCCCACAAAAGCCTTGCTAATATAAACTCATTTCTCTTCTAAAAGCTAAATAATCTGTAATGTCATTATTGGACAATTACATACTGTCGCTTCTTTTCCTATAGCAATATGTAGCTGACAAATGATACAGCTTGATTTTCCTACCATTTTGGCTAGAGAAATAAAATGTATGGCAAACAATATCAACTGAATTATGACTCCTTTAATGCTTATCTCAGCTATATATGATTGTTCTGGTACTATCTTACTTAAAGTTGTTCCCATTAAAACCATTTAAAAAATATCTGACATATCTGGCAACAAATAATTTTGCAAATTAGATTAGATCTTACAGTGCAAACTTATTTCCTGTATGTCTTTATAATAGAGCATAACAGCAGTGACCATGTCAAGTTGAGATAGAATGTCACGATGCTCTGTCATCAAACAGAACCATTGGTTGCTAAATGTTAAAGTACATTTTAAGCAAAATCATTCACTAATCATGTAAATCATTATGGTGTTGGGTTACTCATTTCCATTTGCTTTTTGAATATTTGTGAACCAGGCAAACAAGATGGTATGGCATTAAATGGTTTGAGACAAAAATTTGCTAGTCAAATTTGGGAAGAAAATTAGGTTCATCATCAGTTGGTATGAATTTTTATTATTTAATTATTTTTATTAACAGTTGTTATGAATGCTATTAATTTTACATTCAGGTACACTTGAACTTCAAAAATGTAAGACATAAAATGCGGCCAAGGACTAACATTTGTATCAACAGTTGATAAATGTCTAAGATTGTTTATTATACAGTAGCATACAATGTGCTAATGCCAACAGGCCAGCATGGAAGTTATTTTAAAGAATTTTAATGTTCCATGGAGTTAACAGTGTTTAGTATGATAAATGTTTCAAAATCAAATAGAAATGTATTCCTAACAGCACAGAAATACAATCCAATACTAATGCAAGACAGTGTTCCTTCTCTTAGTTAGAAAAGATAGGAATGGATTCCTCTGGACATGAAAACATTAATTCAAGAGGATACCTGCACTCCTATGTTTATTGCAGCACTAAATACAATAGGTAAGATATGGAAACAACCCAAATGCCCCAAAATAGACGACTGGATGAAGAAGATGTGGTGTAGAATACTATTCAAAAAAAGATAAACTCATGCCATTCGCAGCAACATGGATGGAGCTAGAAGGGATGATGCTCAGTGAAATAAGCCAGAAGGAAAAAGGAAAATATCAGATGATTTCACTTATAGAAGGAATATAGGGGAACAAAATAAGGGATCAGGAAAAAAAAACAATAATAATAAATTAAAAAATAAAATTAGCAGGCAACTATAAATCAGAGTCTGCAAGGGAGTAGGAGGTAGAGGAATCAAAACGGGACAGAAGATCATAAAGGACTATGGTGATGGTTCACGGGGCAATTGGTGGTGGGAATTTTACAGGGACTACACCTGAGAGGAGAAAGCATACAAGCATGAATTGTGCAAAATTGAACAATGATGTAAAAAAATATATATATATATATAAAATGGATTCCTTTGATTATTCATTCATGTCTAGGGAATTTGACAGGGCACGGGATTGCCCCTCTGGACTATGGTGGCCCTACAGTGGTTTCTAGGATTAAGAAGTGAGACTGGGAAGAGAGTGGTATGTCCATAAAACTAGAAACTGGAGTCATCAAGGAACACAGAGCAGGGCCTCCCCTGGTGGCGCAGTGGTTGAGCACTGGGCTGAGAAGCTGCCCGCAGCCTCTGCAGCGCTGGTTTGATCCCCCGCAGGTGAGGGTCCCACATGGCGCGCAGACCTCTCCAGTCTCGCCCGCTGCTCCCCTCAGCTGTGTATTGATTCATCACTCTGCCTGTTCTGCTCCCCGCTCTGGCTCTGGTGAATTCTCTCACCCTCCCGTGCTTCTGACTGTACCCAGTGCTTGTATAAATAAATAAATCAATCTTAAAAAAAAAAAAAAAAGCAACACAGAGTATTTTAAATTTCTTTAGAGAAGTTCTGTCATAGGTGGACTCTGGCCAGAGTTTCATTTTATAAAGGTATGAAAAGTGCCCTCTAAAAGACACTGGCAGGCAGCCCCAGGCTCTACTCTGTAGTCAGTGGTGTTTCTATAAACCATGTTTTTTGTGACGAGAAATAAAAATCTAAATTTCTAAAAAAAAATTTTCTCAGGTACCAAAAGGGGAAAGAGAATTTTCCCTTCCTTTTTTCTCGAAACAGTTCCTTTAGAAAAATTCTAATTATAAATCTTTTTTGTCTCTGTTTTTGAGGTGTATGTAAATGGTTTCAAAAGTTGAGTAAGTCTCTGGTGGTTTCACATCCCCTCACTGTCTTGCCCTGGCCTTGGCACCTTCTCTCTGAAATGTACCTAAGCAGAGTGGAGAGTGGCCCCAGGTCTCCCTGACTTTCTGGGAGCTGAGCCTCAGTGCCTGGCTCTCAGCAGTATGTTCCTATTTGTCATAAAGATATGAGAAATTTTATTTCTCCGTTGGATTCAGGTAACACGTATGTAACTGTGCCTGGCTGTAGAAAAGGGTGAGATTTTCTTGTCTCTGCACTCTTGCTTGTGATGTGCACTGCATACTGATTTAATGCTGATTCAATAATAAAACTGTTTCTTTTTTCTGTATCTGTGGAGAGGATTATCTGGCCGAGCAGATTTTAGTTTTAAAATCTGGTCTCACTACCAGATGCATTACTAGGAGCCCTTACAATCGTTAACGAAGCAGGACCTTAGAGAACCAGGAAACCAATGGATAAGAGGGTTCGTTCCAGGATCTCAAAATTCGGGGAAGAGAAGGGCAGAGATGACTATTGGTGACTCTCGGGAGGGTGGTTAGTGTAGCTGGTTGGTACAAAAACCGTTATTTCACTTCCAACTTACCCCTGTCTGTTTTGAGCAGTTTGTTAGCGTATGAAGACGCCAGAACATGCACACTTCTTCATTTTGTGTCCTGAAGGTCGCACCAGCCTCCTTCGACACCTGGGGGATGACCTGAGGTGCCATCTTCCGAGCATGCAACGTATGTGGAGGCAGGAATGCTCCTCACCACCTGCAGATGACCAGCACCGTCCAGTCACCGGCCGGTCCCTTGTCTGGCTTTTGCCTTTCTTTTTAAACCCCGCTCCATCTTTTGCTGGGGAGGCAGTCTGTGGGATCTAAATCCTTTGGCTTCCATTTCTTGTACAGGTAATGAATCCTCTTTCTCAAAAACAACACCAACAACAAAACTTGGTTCTGGTCCCTTGGCTGGTAGATCCAAGTGACAGACCTCTTGAGCTGGGTAACACAGTTACTCAGAAAGAGAAGCGCTGCCACCTTTGACCAGGGGCAAAACAGAAACACCAAAGGAGCTGGGGGCCAGGATGTACCGCTTTGGCAGACAGTTTCCAGCAGGAGACAATCAAGAGCCAAAGGAATCAGGAAGAGCTTTTTGACCTTCCCCTTAGTTGCCAGAAAGAATTTAGCTAGAAAACATGTTCCAGGAAGGGAGCTACCCTCATCTAACATCAAGATAACATGAACTAGGCGTGCAGACGGGGAGGAAACTAGCAAAGCCTGTTGAGACTCCTTTCTGGGTATCACTGTTTCTGTATGGCCCAGCAAACATGTTTTTTTTACCAAACATTCGCTCTTGCCATCTTCCTGTGAATTGTCTTCCTTCCCTTTGAAGTCTCAGGCTTCTACCCCGCCCCCCCTCTTATCTCATTTTGCCTGAATGTCATTGGGCCTTTCACGTCATTGTGGGACCCTTATAACTCAGTTAAATTTGTTTTCTTCTCTTAATCTGTCTCATGTTAATTTAATTATTCGACCAACCAAAAGAACCAAAAAGGAGAGAATGGGGAAATTTTGTGTTTCCAGACAAATGAAAGGTGCTGCTGTGAGTCAGTGACGAAATTGGCTAGCAGGTTTGGGTTATCCTTCTTGAAAAGGAGAAAAAGAAAACCCCAAAGGTCACACTTCTTCCCCAGAATAATTTAGTTTGACAGTTCAAGTTCAGTGGAATGGTTCAGGGTCAGTTATTTGAGGAGCATAATCCTGTAACCCTGCTGCTTCCACATATTCAGAGAAGGTCAAAGAATCAGATTTGACCCCACTATGACTTTTTTGCTCTAAAAATAAGCCGATAGTGTCCCTGTAGGGAAGGCTGATGGAGCGACTGAATGATGGTTCTTCAATTCCCAGTAGCTCCCGGGTATGCTGAGAAATTACCTGAAAGGCAAGGATAATTTTTTAACTGGACTGATCTGAAAATACAACTAAATCAAATATTTCACTTAGTTTCCTAGCCCCTGGGAATGCTAATCCCATAAGTTATTGCTATGAGAAAATAAAACAATGAAATAACATGCAAAGGCTTACTAGCCTGGTTTTATCAAAACAAAGTTCTTACAAGAAATGCCACATTTTTTGCTATCCTTTTAAAATGCTATTTAAAGATATTTTTAAGTCTTTACATCAGATGGGCATCGTGGGTTCAGTTCTTTCTTTTGGCTGAGCAATCTGACTAACCATATAAGCAGATAAAAGGTTCAGATTAGGAGCCATGACTATCTCTGGGAAGGTTAATAAATAACTAGGCTCAGTTAATAAATAAAGGGCTCAGTTAATTTGTAACTAAGGGGGAAAAATCATTGCGCAACTAGTTATTCAATTTACTTGACTTCAAACAAAAGTCAACCGCTAAGAAGCAGACATTAAAGTCCTAGCTATACTTAGTATCTATACTTGTATTTTCTATGAAAATATCTTTAAATGGCCAAATTTTTCAGTATCTCTAAAACACTGATTTATATTCAATGAATACCATGCCACTTGATATTCTGGATTGACCTCTTGTTTTATTTTCAAATTCTAGTTTTAACCATAGCTCTATTATAACACTGCTGTTTGAATTCATGTTCTGCATCTGGATGATAATGCAGTCTGTGAAATTGCTGCTAGAACACATCCAGTGAAGTATGTGGAATGATTTTTTTTAATTTAATATTCCTAGTCATAGTTACAAAGCTGTAAAATTCATGCCACAGACAATTCTAAATCTGAAGCAAAAGGGCCCAGTGGCGATGCATTTTAGATAGGCAAGGTATCTTTCTTCTCAAATCTTGCATAAAATGGCTTTGTTCAGGCTCTAGAGAGGGCTTGTGGGTAAAAGACACTGCCATTGCCAGTGGGAATACTAATGAGGTCTGTAGCAGTTGGAATTTCTAAGATTGAGACTCGAATAACTACAGGTGAAGAATCTTCGTTTGTAATTGATGCTGCTACATTGAGCACCTCGCCTCAACTCTCATTTTGAATGCCCCTTGTTACAAGAGGTTATTTCACAGAGTCCCTGAGGTTTATAGATGGTTCCCGGAGGGGGGACCTTGTAGACATAAGCATATCCACAATTAACCAAAAGAGCTATGAGGCTATAGGCTGAAAGTGTTCAATCCTGTTAATATTCTAATGCAGGAATTAAAACATTATAAAGCTCTGTGGAATCAAGAAATACACTCTAACCATCACTCCTCTAATTCAGTAATTTTTAAAGTGGGTATGAGGTTCGTTGATGGACCACGAGGATCCTCTGGTGGGCTATAATCTAAAACCGTGTGTTCTTTCTTCAGATTTGATGAATAACAAGCCACTGACATTATTTTTACCTAAGACTCATAGCAACTTAATAACAACAACTAGGGTTAATAAATATTGGTATTCATGGTGTAGGGAAGGTAAAAATGTATCAGGTTTTTCTGCCCTCCCGCCATTAGGATTAATGATGAATCCTGCAGTCCTGAATGCATGCCTGAGGGTGTAGGGTGTGGGCATGTGTAAGTGGGTACACCTGTGCTGAGATATTAGGCTTATAAGGGCGGCGTCACAGGGACGCCAGAAGAAGCAGAACCATGAGGAGAACCACGAGAGAAGCAGAGAGAACGCGAGAGAAGGCCGGAGAGCCCAGAAAGAGTGAAGACTTACTAGGGGCTGGGAGGCCTGCCAGCCTCCCGGCCCCCCAGCACCCCTAGCTGCTGTGTACTGGGTATTTACTGGTAAATCCCAATAAAAGCCTGCAAAAGCCACTGAGGGCTCCAGGACTCCCTCCTTTACCTGGTCTGCTGGATTAGAAAACCTGCACTGTGTCCTTCCTGCCCTTACACATGGAGAATATTAGCATTTTCTAAGGATACTTAATTCTGCATTCTAGGATGGTGGCCCCCACTCAATGCTGGGATCACTCAGAACACCTACTTCACATGGCCTCCAGCAGATACTTGTGATACCTGTAGTTTTCAAGAAGATTCTATTATTACTTGACCAATGCTTAATCTTATGCTGATCATAGTTTTCAAAGGCTGCTGCTCTGCTCTTTTAGATTGAGCTACAATTGACATATATTGGTTTCAGGTCTCTAATATAATGATTTAAATATTTGTCTACATTGCAAAATGATTACCACACTAAGTCTAGTTACTCTCTGCCATCAAACAAAGTTAACTTTTAGGACTCAGTCTCTTGGCAACTTTTAAGTACATGTTGCAATATTATTGACTATAGTAACCATTACACTCCTGTGACTTATACCTGGAGTTTATACTGATTGACCCCCTTCACCCATTTTGTCCATCCTCCAACCCCCCTCCCCCTGGCACGCTCCATTCCATTTGTTCTTGCTCTTATTTATAAAATACGGATGATTTTGCTTCATCATTACCAACTTATTATGCGCTGTTTGGTTTGTAACTATTCACCATTTATATAATCAGAACCTATAATTTACTTTCATTAATTCTAAAGACTAATTGTGCTTCAAATGTGATCGTTCTATATCACCATTATTAAAACAGACATATAGTGTCCTTAAAATCTGCGTGTTGGCTCATTTTACAACATGAATTAATCTTTTTTTTAAGATTTATTTATTTATGCATACAAGAGCTGGGGTACAGGCCAGAGTTGTGGGGGCGAGAGGATTCACCAGAAACAGAGTGGGGAACAGAACAGGCAGATCTAGTGAAATACACTGCTGAGGGGAGCAGCAGGTGAGGTAGGAGAGGTCTGCTGCGCCATGTGGGGTTTCTCCCTGGCAGGCTGGGGATTAAACTCTTGCTGCAGAGGCTGCCAATTGCTTCATAGTGTGGTGCACCACATAGTGTGGTGCAACCCCTTGCACCACCAGGGAAGCCCAACATGAATTAATCTTAAATGCCTCATGTGAGGGAAAGAAGCCAAACTCAAAGGTTATATAATATTAGATTCCATTTATTGGTCATTCTGGAAGAGGTGAAACTATAAGGAGAAAAAACATATGAGTGGTTGCTGGGGCTGGGGTGGAGAGATGGTGTAGGGTAAGTAAAGTATTAGGTTTTTCTGCCCTCCCACCATTAGGACTGATGATGGATCCTTGCGGTCTGAATGCATGCCTGATGGTGGGCACCTGGAATAGGGTGTGGGCATGTGTAGATGGGATTCACCTGGGCTAAGACTGGGCTTATAAGGGCGGTGTCATGGGAACGCCAGCAGAAGAACCACGAGAACAAATGGAAGAGCAGAGAGCAGAGACCACCGGAGAAGGCCGGAGAGCCCAGACAGAGTGAAGGCTTGCTGGGGGCTGGGAGGCCTGCCAGCCACCCAGCCCCCCAGCACCTCTGCCGTGTACCTGGTAAATCTCAATAAAAGCCTGAAAAGCAACCGAGGGCTCCAGGATTCTCTTCACCCCGTCTGCTCAGGTCATAGAGAACCTGCTCTGTGTCCTTCCTGCCCCTTACAGATGGGTAGACAAAGGGGACATGGGGAAGTTATAGGGAGTAGAATTGTTTTGTATAGTTCTGTGGTAGTAGATACATGACCTTGTACATAGAACCGTATACTACTGAGAATGATTTTACTGTATATAATTTTTTAAAAAAGCTAGGATGCCATGGGAACCCATGATAGAAATACAGGCTGTGGATCAGTGAACCTAACTGTCTCGTGTGTAGGACACACTCTCACTGAAGGGGGTGTTGAAGAAAAGAGCTGATGTAAATAACTTTAACTTTGAAAACCAGTGTTTGTCTTGGTAGCGTAAGGACCTGTACACAAGTATACTGCTCTCTATTTAATAAATTTGCTTCCAATAAGGACACATACTGATAAAGGGAGCCAGTTTTCTCACTGTCAGAGAAAGACATTTACACAAGCAAGGGTGGGTAGGGAGTCAGAAGCAGGGGAAGGCTACAATGACGCCCGTGGTGCTGGGATACAGTCTGAGATACTCACAGAAGTGAGATAGATATTTGTGTACATGTGGGTTGGTATACGAACTCACAGAAGTGAGATAGATATTTGTGTACATGTGGGTTGGTATATAGACCTATAGTTCCAAGATCTGTCTGCTGAGAGTGTCGAGAAGCGGTGACACCCCAGTAGCAATAAGCACAGCATGCCCACATCTTGGTTTCTAAATACCATTCTCTGATAAAAGCAACCAGGGTTCCTTGGGGAAAAGGCTGATTGTAGACCTGCTGAAAGAAAATACAAAATGAATCTGAAGGAACATAGCTGCTAAAAGTAAAGAGGTGCTAAAATATGTACGTAAGGGAAGCAAGTTAAAAGGACACAAGAAGTCATTTGAAAGAGCTCCTGGATGGGGGAAAAGGTACAATTAATTGAAAGAATACCTTAAGAGAGTTTCAAATAAGTATAAAAGGAAAGGGGGGAAAGAAAATCATCATTAGAACAATATTGAATGACCACCAAAGGTAAGATCCACAGATGAATGCTAAAATTAGTGGACAGAACTTTAAAGAGGTTATTTGTATACCTTCAAACTATCTCCCACGATATATTTATTGCTATGGCAATTTTACTACACATCCATTAACTGTTTTCCATTTACTACACATCCATTAACTCTTCCTCTCTCCAGAAGGTGGAGCTTAAGTATGGGCTGGACTTAATAACTCACTTCTAATGAAGAGAAAATGAAAAGGAAACACAGTGGCTTTATTGTGAAGAAACCTGGCAGACACCACCTTCACCAAGTGGTCAAGTTTGAACTCTCCTGTGGTAAGTCATTTTCTTCCTGATAGGATAAGATGGGAAAGGTGATTACCTCTGATAGTCTCCCCGCCAGGAAAAGAGCTTAGGTACTAACAAGCATAATCTTTTTATTTTCTAAACTATATGACATATGGAGTTACAGGGTTCTAAAGTCTGATCAAGAGTCACCTAGGAACAAATTCCAGGGCTCCCCTTAGACTGAATGAATCAAAATCTCTGGAGTATGGAGTCTAGGAGTTTGTTTTTTTTTAAATCTCATCTGATTCTGAAGACTATCTGAGTTTAAGAACCACTGAGGCAGAGCATTTATGAGCATGAGTGAAACCATTGGCATTTGGGCTAGGAGATATTAAATGAGATTATAAATTATAATCTATAAATGAAATCGCACATGGGAAGCTTTGTAAACTGTGAGCACTGTCAATGAAAGGGACTTATGCAGAGATGCATCACCAGGAGCTGCTGGTGCCAGAGAGAGCTTAGGAAACTGAGTCCAGGAAGGTTAACGTAACTTGTTCAAAGCTAGATAGCAAATCAGACAAAATAATATGGTGTTATAAAAAAACGCAATGGGTGTCAGAGACAAAAAATGTTTAAGAGCCAGGGAGGAGAGTTTACAGTGGGTTGGTAAGGTGAGGAAAGACTGCAGGAGGAAGTGAGAATTGAGTGGGGTACTGAAAGATGACTAAGATTGGTATCAGTCATATAGGGCAAGGGGAACAACAAAAATGCAGAGGGAAGGAGGCCCACGACAGCTTAGCGAGGGCGTGAGTTAGGCCCGGGAGGCTGGTGCAGAAGATTTATTAGGGGAGTGGGAGAGAAAAGAGTGGGGGGAGCCTCCCCTGGTGGGGCAGTGGTTGAGCATGGGACTGCGAAGCTGCCCACAGCCTCTGCAGTGCCGGTTTGATCCCCGGCCGCCGGCGAGGGTCCCACATGGCGCGCAGACCTCTCCTGCCGTGCCTGCTGCTCCCCTCAGCAGTGTATTTCGTCAGTCTGCCTGTTCTGTTCCCTGCTCTGGCTCTGGTGAATTCTCTCACCCTCCCGCGCTTCTGACTATACCCAGTGCTTGTATTAATAAATAAATAAATATTTAAAAAAAAAAAGAGTGGTGGCTGCAAACATTTGTGGAAAGCCTTGAATCCTAAGCTAAGAAGTTGAGACTATCTTCTAAGTAGAGGGAGTTCAAAGAAGATTTCTTAGTGTATAAGTACTTGGAAAGTGAGATTCTAAAAATAGAGCTGTTCAATCCAAAGAGACATCAGGGAGAGGTTAAAAGCAGGAGGCTACTGGATGTTCTAGGTATGAAGTGATAAAAGTTTGAACAAGGAGGAATGGAGAAAACCTGATTCTGTAGGAGGTACTGACACTCCTTGAGGTCTTTGTGAGGATCAAAACAGAAGCCTGTGGGCCTGGGGGGCTGGGGGTTGATGACTCCATTGACAGAAATGGGAGACTAGGTTGGAAGAAAAATTTGTTGGCTTGAGGCAGACGGTAGCATTGTTATAGGGAAACTTTACACACAACTCACCTTCATATCCTCAAAATCTGTTATCCCAATTTGAGGGAGGTTTGAGCAGTTTACATGGATGAGTTTCCGGCCACTGATGAAATTTGTGGTAAAACACTCCTGTTAATACAATGACAGCATCACTCAAAAATGCACTGCAAATAGCAGGGGAAAAAAGGGAGGGAGGTAGGAAGGGTGGAGGGAGTCAGGGAGGGAAGAAATCCATTTATCTTTGGTTCTATACTGAGAAAAAACTTTAGTTTTAAATTTAACTTTAGTAATACTAATAATACCACATTTTTCATGAAAGCTCTTGACATTTCATACTGCTTTGTAATTTTTTTTTTTTGGTATGTTACAACCAATGCTTCTTTCACACCTCAATTACAATTTAAAGAATGGAGGGCTTCCCTGGTGGTGCAGGGGTTAGAGTCTAAGCGCTATCAAGCTATCGACAGCCACTGCAGCATGAGTTCCATCCCCGGCCAGGGAGCTGACCCACTGGTGCAGCAGACCTCTCCTGTCTCACCCGCTGCTCCCCTCAGCAGTGTATTTCTGAGATCTGCCTGTTCTGTTCCCTGCTCTGCTCTGGTGAATCCTCTCAACCCCCCACTCCGCACCTTTGGCCTTGACCCCAGTTCTTACATGCATAAATAAGTAAATCTTTTTTAAAAAATTTAAAGTATGGAGATACAAAAGATTCCAGATCTTGTGTTGTTTTATGGTCGCCTAAGAACATAGTTGGCATTAGTGGTATAAGAAGTTTACCTTATCTTTTTAATGAAAGTATGTTTTAAAGACTTATTTATGCATACAAGAACTTATTTATACATACAAGGCCAGAGGTGTGGGGAGTGAGCAGATTCACTAGAGACAGGGTAGGGAGCAGAACAGGTGGATCTACTGACATGCACTGCTGAGGGGAGCAGCAGTTGAGACAAGAGAGGTCTGCTGTGCCATGTGGGTTAGCAACCTGGTTGGGGATGGAACTCAGACCACAGCAGTAATAACACTGAGACTTAACCACTGGGCCACCAGGGAGGCCCTAAAATTACTTTTCGTTAATTGGCTATTTCAATTAGTACTAGTTGACACTCATGATACATATGCATGTATCATTGTTACAAACTAAGGTTAAAAGTACAAGTTAAGGGGGGGCATCCCCGGTGGAGCAGCAGTTGAGCGCTGGGTTGCAAAGCTGCCCGCAGCCTCTGCAGCGCCGGTTCGATCCCGGGCTGCTCCCCGGCCACCGGAGGAGGGTCCCGCATGGCGCGCAGATCTCTCCTGCCGCCCGCTGCTCCCCTCAGCAGCGTACCTCGGTCCTTCTGCCTGCTCTGCTCCCCGCCCTGGCTCTGGTGAATTCTCTCACCCTCCTGCACTTCTGACTGTACCCAGTGCTTTATGAATAAATAAATAAATCTTAAAAAAAAAAAGTACAAGTTAAGGGAGCTGCCACTAAAACAACCACCAAATACCAAAAGTCTGCCTTGGACAAAATCTAGTAAAAAAATACAACTTTCTATGAAAAGAGGCCTAAATAAATTTCTTCGTCTTTATTCAAAGATTGCAGAGAATATAATCACTGCTATAAATAGGAAAAACAAACATATTCTTCTCCCAAAATATATACATACATCAGTGGAAAGGTCAAAATTAAGATCCCAGTTTCCTCTATCATAGTCCAGAACTTTTCTATACTCCTTCAAGTGAATTGGTGAACTCAGGTCACAGTAGAGAAATAAGAGGTAAAAGGAGGAGAGTCCATGATCCCCCAAAAATGTTATCTTTGTATACCTTGTATTGAGGGAAGCCTAGCTTGCTAATCCACTCTGCAACTTTCTCTGGACTCCATGTAAGATAATCAAATTGCTGTACCCCAAAACTACTTCTTGACTGTCTTTTTTTATCTCTAGGTACCAGATCCTCCAACTTTGAAGATAAATCCACACTTCCATTTTCAGTAGTGGACTCTTGAAAATCATAGTGATCTACCAGGGAATAGTCATACTCACTGTCATAAACATTCTCATACGCATTTTGGAATGTTTTATAAAAACCGTAGTCAGTACTTGTAGAGTCTGCTTCGCTAGCTGAGAGAGACCCTTTTTTCCCTCTTTTATGGAACTTTCTCCTTTGATAGGAGTCATAATCTACCACTACCCCTCTCGAGTAATTGCTTTGGATTGATTCTGCCTCATATTCTTTGACAAATTCTACATGTGTGTCTTTTCTATGTAGTCCTTTCTCTTCATCTGTTAACTCTAGATCTTTCTCTTCAATTGGCTCTGTTTGTGTCTTTTCTTGAACCTCTGGTTCAGTCTTCTGTGGTGGTACTTGACTTCTTTTCTCAATTGATTCTGATGTTCTTAGTGTCTCCCCTGATGTGGCCTTCTGTGGTTGTGCTACTCCTGTCTCCTCAGTTGATTTTCTTGGTTTATCCTTTTGATGTGCTGGTTTAGAGTCCTCTGGTGGCTCTAGAACTTTCTCTGCACTTGACTTTCTTTGTGTCTCCTCTTGAACTGGTTTCGTCATTTCTGATGGCTCAACACCTCTTTCTTCACTTGGCTTTCTTGATTTTTCCTCCTGAAACTCTGATTTGATCTCTTCCAGTGTCTCTGGAACTTTCTCCTCAGCTGACTTTCTTTGTGTTTCCTCAGGAGACTTACTTGGTGTCTGGTCTGGAAACTCTGATTTAGTCTGCTCAGATGGTTCTTTTCCTATCTCTTCAGCTGATTTTCTTTGTGTCTCCTCTGGAAGCTCTGGTTTGACCTGCTCAGATGGCTCTGTCCTTTTCTCATCAAGTGACTTCCTTTGTGTCATCTCTGGAATCTCTAGTGGGGTCATCTCTGGCGGCTGTATTTCTGCCTCTTTAATCGAGTTTCTTGGTTTCTCACTTGGAAATTTTGGTTTGGTCAAGTCTGTAGATGGTAGCTCTATCTCTCCACCTTGCTCTCTGGGTGATTCCTTCAGAATGTTCTCTTGTAACTCTGATCTTGTCTCACTGATTGTGGCCCCTGGAACCTCAGACTCGGTTTCCTTTGGGAGCTCTAGATCTGGCTCATGGTTTTCAACCTCAAAGACCTCCAAATCCTGGAGAAGCTCTTCTCCCATCTCCACGAACCCCTCCAACTGTACCTCTTGGGGTTCTGTCTCTCTAGAAAGGTCTACCTCTGACTCCTCAGGAATCTCGTATTCTGACAGCTCGTGTGGCATGAGGTGGGGGTGTCCATTCTCAGCACCCTCTTGCGCCCCCTCTTTGAAGTCCTCTCCCCCCATCTCTGGCTGTGGCTCTTGCTCGGCCTCCACGTGCTGCTCCGCGTCTGCAGCCTCTGCCTTGGGTTCTGGTTGCGCATCTTCAGCCAACTTACGAGACTCAGACAGCTCAGGAGCCTCCTGCTCCAGGTCTTCAGCGCCATACGGATCGGAATAGTAACCTTCAGGGACATCGGCCATGACGCAGCTTGGGGGACGCGCCCAGGCTTCCTAGCAACCCCAACTTCCGATAGCGTCTCTATGGCTACCACGGTTTCCGGCCGGGTCTTCGTGAAGCTTCTCCAGGTTCTGTCAGATCTTCCCAGCCCTGACTTTAAACCCCTGCCGCCCCAGCTCGCCCGCGCCCGCCGCGCCCGCCGCGCCCCTGCGCCCGCCCGGGGGAGCGCGCGGCGCTTCCGGCCCGGGCTCGGCTCGCGGTTCCCGCGCGCGCCCGGCCGTCGGCCGTTTCCGGAGCCCTCGCGGCGGGCGGCGACCGCTCCCGGCGCGGCTGCAGATGTCGGACCGGCGGGCGGCCGAGGGGCCGGGCTTCTGGAGCCCCGCGGGCGGCGTCGGGGACGGCCCGGGAGCGGCGGCGGAGGGCCCGGCGGCCGCCTCAGGTACGCAAGGCCGGGCCCGGCGCGGGGGACCCGCCCGGCCGCCCCTCGCGCGCGGGCCCTGTGAGCGCGCCGAGCCCGCGCCCCCCGCGCGCCCCCCGCCCCTGCCCCACCCGGCCCCGGCTGCGGGGCTGCGTGCGAGGCGTTTCGCCTTCTGTTTCGAAACGCCGGGTCCCTGCCCAGCCGCTTTCTCGGGGCAGCCCCGACGGTCTCGGCCGCGCCGCGCTGCCCCTGCGCCCCGCAGCGCCGGCCCCCCCAGCCGGTCTCCGCTGGGCTGCGCGCCCCGACCCCCCACCCCACCCCACCCCACCCCGCTTCTGGCTGGCGCCGGCCATTCCCGCGGCTCAGCCCGGCTCCTGCCTCCCCACGCGCCCCTGCGCCCCCCATCCGGGGGGCAGCCCCCCATTGCTCCGTCCACAACCCCACTGCGCTCTGGCCTTCCAGAACCCGGGTCCCTCGCCGCGCCCCCGTCCTCTCGGGCAGCAGAGTGGGAGAGGCGAAAAGCAGAGCCGGCGTAGGGGGGACCCCGAGGGGTCTTTTGAATGGACACAGTAGCCAGAGCAAAGGCAGAAGTGGGGGCTGCAACTGCAGCTTTGACGACCGCCCCCTTTCTCTAGGTTTGTGCCCACCTGCCTCGGTTTGTGCCCACCCGGGGCCCTCGGGGCGGCTGTCTGCAGTGTACTCGCCTCTCCCTCTCTGCCTGCCTTAGGGCCACCAGGCACCAGGCGACTAAAAGGATGCTTGTTTGAAATACAGAAGGATAAGGGAGAGAACTGGTGTCATTAAGCAGCGGCAATGAATTAATTTTCCAGGTGTGAGATGAAAATAGACACCGTGAAGTAGAGCGATGGGGGAGCTGATGTGGAGCCGCAGGAGTCAGCCTCTCCATTGTACTATTTGAGTTGACCTTTGGCGACTCGTTTCACTTCTCTCTCTCTTTCCTTTTCTGTAAAATGTGGGTACTAAGATTTCGTGCTGATGGAATTGCTCAGGATCACCCGAGGGTGTGTTTCTGGGGACTGTGGTGCCCGGCCTAGTGTACACAGGCTGTGCTGGTGCTGTCCTGGCTGGGAGAGTGAGGTCTGGCCTTGCTTCCCTGCACTGCTCCTGGATGTGGGTCTGTGTGGGGACCGCCCTGCCTTCTGCTTCTGTCCCAGACACCTCCCGTCTCCTAGTGCTGCTTCAGTCAGACACATGCCTTGGCCCACCCAGCTTTTCCCCATGACCTGCCTAATGTTCTCTTCCTTTAAAACATCTTCCTTCTGGGCCTCCCCGGTGGCGCAGTGCTTGAGCGCTGCCTCTGCAGCACCGGTTCAAGGTTCAATCCCCAGCCACCAGCGAGGGTCCCACATGGGGCACAGACCTCTCCTGCCAGGCCCGCTGCTCCCCTCAGCAGTGTATTTCATCGGTCTGCCTGCTCTGTTCCCCGCTCTGTCTCTGATGAATTCTGTCACCCTCCTGTGCTTCTGACTGTACCCAGTGCTTTGTATAAATAAATAAATCTTTAAAAAAATAAATAAAACATCTTCCTTCTTAGGAAGGCCTGCTTTGTATTAAATTCAAAGTTGATGGCGTGTATTTAACGTTGTAGTAGAAATTGTAAGCCTGATTTCTAAAAGGTGAAACAAGTAAAAACTCAGTCTCATAAACACCTGTCCTTTACGTGTGTAACTATTTATAAATTAAGGTTTCTTTTTTCACTTCCCCTTTAGATCCTGTGTGCTTATGTCAGACAAGCCTAAACATTTTAAAAAGAAAGGTCTTAGGAATAGCCCAGGAATATATTGGAGGATAGTGGGCTTGTCTCTTTTGTCACCCTCCTCCCCATTTCTGATTTTTTTTTTTTGCATTCACTTTTTTCTTCCCTGACATTGATAGAAATACCTACATTCTTCCTCTTGCCCTCAGAAAGCAACATGTTGATTTTATGTCATGGAGGGGTTTATTGCAGCCCAGACGAAGCTTTTCCCCTTGAGCTAGAAGTTGTTGCTGATAAATTAGCAAACCAGTACTAGTGATAGCCTACGTTAATTGAAGCTTACTTTGTGACAGAAGGTGGACATTTATTTGTATTATCTGACTTAATCCTGTCAACCATCATTTTTTTTTTTCCAAGATTTTTTTTTTTTTTATACAAGCACTGGGTATAGTCAGAAGTGCGGGAGGGTGAGAGAATTCACCAGAGACAGAGTGGAGAACAGAACAGGCAGACTGACGAAACACACTGCTGAAGGGAGCATCAGGTGGCAGGAGAGGTCTGCGCGCCATGTGGGACCCTCGCCCGCAGCCGGGGATCAAACCAGTGCTGCAGAGGCTGACGGCCAGTTTCGCAGCCCAGCGCTCAACCGCTGTGTTGCCGGGGGAGGCCCTCAACCATCATTCTTGTTCCCATATTTACAGAGGAACAGATTACAGCTGAGATTTATTCATCCAAGTTAGCTACAAAGTGTTTACTGTCCATATGAAATTGTCATCTTGTTATAATGAAGCTTGCAATCATTTATTTTTATTGGTCATTAATCAAGTGTTGGTTACTTGATTATATATATATATATACTCACTGCCTATACACCAGGGCATGTTACGGCCTTCAAGGTGTTTTCAGTTCAGTAGGACGAGAGTACCATAGGAGAAAAAACAATTCAGAACAGTGTCTAATCTGGTGTTTTTTGTTATAGCTCTTTGTATAAATACCCCATTCCCTCAAGAAACCAACTTTAGGGTAGGGATGGGATTATTCTTTTCCTGGAACTCTTGATGTTCTGTCCTAGAGGTTCTGTAAATATTTGCTGGATTGTGAGAGGAAGCCTCAACACAGAGATTTGGAGGAGCAGCAAATGAATATGAGGAATTTGGCTTGAGATGACCAAGAATGTTACCTGCCTCAGTGGTTAGTGCTTCGCAGTGATTCTCAACCAGGGGCAATTTCCATTGTGTGCCCACCCCCTAAATTTTGATTGTCCCACTTGGAGGGAGTGCTGTTCTTCTCACAGGTTGAGGTGGGGGGAATGCTTTCAATTCCCTGCAGCACAGTACAGCGCCCCAGGGAGAATTATCTGGCCCCAAATGCCTGTAGGGCTGCTGTTTAGAAACCTTGAGTTAGAAATAAGCTGGCTTTCCAAAGCAGTGAAAATCATGCTTTTGGCTTGGCTCAGAGTTGTACAGGCTTAGGTGTAAAACCCCCAAATTACTTTAAATTTGGAGTTTGTTTGATTAGATCCTTCTGCCTCCTTTCTCTGAAAAATGATCCAATGAGTGAGCAATAGAGTCCTAAGGATGAAGCTGAATGAAGTCATTTAATTGAGGCTGGACATTTAGTTATTGAATTAAGGGTTTTGATTTCTCAATGTGTCATATTCAAAGCAGGAATTTGTAATTATCCAGAATAACCATACCTTGTTTCTAAAAAGTGTTCGCTGCTGAGTATACCTTTTGAGGGTTTTCATGTTTGTTCACTGAGGTTTTGGTGAAGAATAAGAAAAGTATTTATGTTCTTCTGAACTGAGCTCTCCTGTGATCTTGATTGTCTTGTTTCTATGAACTGTAATTTTTTTAATGGTCCTTTATTTGTGGCACCTGGGTTCTTCAGGTCCCAAGAGGAGAGAGCTGCTGCTCTTTATTCAGTGAAACTCTGAGGCATACATGTTGCATCACTTAAGAATAGGCCTTTTTTTCTTTCCTTTTAAGTTTAGGGTGCTTTGGGGAAAATAAAGGGCAAAGTCTGTTGTGAACTTGGAGTCAGCAGCAGAACTTAATTTGGTGTGCATGACCCTGAAAGCTGCCTTGCATTTAGAGGTTAAGGACTGGAAGCACGTCGGGCAAACATGCTCAGGATTCTTTTTTTTTTTTTTAAGATTGATTTATTTATACAAGAACCAGGGCACAGGCCAGATGTGCGCAAGGGTGAGAGGACTCACCAGAGACAGAGTGGGGAACAGAACAGGCAGAATGACCAAAACACACTGCTGAGGGGAGCAGCAGGTGGGACAGGAGAGGTCTGCCGCACCATTTGGGTTGCTCCATGGCTGGCGGGGATCAAAATGGTACTGCAGAGGCTGTGGACAGCTTCACAGCGCTGCGCTCAACCGCCTGTGTCACCAGGGAGGCCCCACATGCTCAGGATTCTTGTATAGGAACTTAGACTAGGGCAGTAAGTTTGTCTGTCAGTGATGGAAATGTTGCATATCGATGACTATTATGATTTAAATTAAAATTGAAAAACTGGTAGCTACCATATTGGATGGAACAAGAGTGGGCAGTCCATGCTGGAGAACCCTTCTGCTTTTTGGTTTTCTATTGTGGTTTTATGTCAAAACGAATATATTTGCCTGTGGTTACTGTTTTCCATACAGTATATTGTTTTTATCGTGTTGAGATAGTCAGTTCTGTTCTAATTTCGTAATCTGAATGACCATGTGGGAGCATGGCCACACATAAGGACCGAGGAGAAGTTGGATCACGTGGTGTCTGGATTTACTTGAAACATAAATTCAGCCAGTTTCTTTTAGTTTAAGTCTCTTGAGTCTATAAGTATATAACCTGCTTTTGGGTCTTCTGCCCTTGAATCTGAAAGACCAGACTAATTATCTCCTTGCTGCCTGTTTAGTGACAGTGAAGTCCTTTGAGACCTGTTCTAAAGAACTCTGACCTGAAATTCAAGTGCTTTAGAAAGAACCCTGCTTTTTGGTTCTCTTTGAAGAGAAAATACAAAGTATGTAGCAAATTTCAGTCTATAGCATGATCAGAGTGTCTGAAAAGTATTCTGGTAATGTGAAAAGAAAACACATTTTAAAAATGGTCTAAAATGAAATCTGCGGAAGTTACTTTTTCCCCCTCTCATCTTTACTTTCGAAGATGTCGGTTATGAGTTGAGTTATTCATGGGCTTCCATTTCCCTTCTCTGTTTATTGTTTCCAAGACTTTGGCCACTCAGGTAGCACAGTACGAATTTTTGCCACACTAGGGAATATGTTCAAATATTTTTTGGTTACTATTTGGTATTG